TTCCCCCGCCCTCCAGGAGCTAGATGAAATGACATGAGGGTTGGAGAAAGGATGAGCATTTTCCCTGTAAGATAACTACAAAGTCAAGTGTTGTTATAGTAGGGTGGTGTTTTTCCCCCCATTAGCATTCCGCTTCAACGCCAGGGATCACATGAGAATTCAAGCATCTTCCGATACGTCCATTTGTAATTTAAAATGAAATATGATCTCCCACAAAATACTTTTTTACTGGGCCTCAAAATAGCATTTCCCGCTTTCTGATTAAGTATGGCAGATGGGAAAAGAATCAGCCCCCTTTCACAAACAATCACAATTACCCTAGGGATAAAGCATCTTTGACTTCGGGTATATACAATATCAAAATACACATGTAATCTTTCTGCCCATCATTCTAAAATGAAGCTGTCATATTGCTTAGCGCTCACTGCAAAATAGCTATTAGGCTTGTGGAGAAAGCAATTCTCATTCCATGGAAGTTAACTGTAAAGAAGTCGCATAACACTATAATCAGAGCCTATTGAGCTGCCATTGGAACCCATGACTCTCTTGACATGGATTGGAAATGGGGCTGGTCCTCCTATTAGACAGAGAAAGATGGCTCCCTCAGACAGTTGATTCTGGGTGTCAGGAAAGGGTGAAAATTGTCCAGTTATTTAATGTATTAAATATCATAATTTTACTCTCAGACAGAAGCAGGTGTGGATATGTTTTTCTCTCTTCCTTGGGTGCCAAAATAACTTGATTAGCCTTGGATTACGCTGCCCATTGACTTAAATGCTGCCGTTTGCTTTTCCACTTCAGGCAGCAAAATGTCTTGAGCAGGCCATGGTTGAAAATAGGTTGACTGCACAAACTACTGTCCTTCACCCAACTTATTTTATTTATCTATAAAATTTGTGCACCGCCTTTCATCCGAAGATCACCGGGTGGTTAAAAACATAAAAATATGAAATGAAAACACAAAACACATAACATAACAAAAACAAAACAACAACTGCACTCCAACAGACACATTTAAAAGGCTGTACAATGTTAACCAGCTGAACACCTAGTGGAAGGGAAACATTTCCACCTAGAGCCTAAATATATGTAATGAAGGTACCAGGCGAGCCTCCTTAGGGAGAGCATAACACAGACTTCTTCTGTATCCTCCTATAGTAGCCATAACATTAAAGTCTATAACATTAAAGTTCTGAGCTCCTTTGCGACAGAACCATGAGTATGGTCCTGGCTTCTAGTGTATATGATAGTCTCTTCCTTCCTGTCTCTCTTACCTCCTCTCTCTTCTTGTGGCTCAAATTCCTTTCCTGGACTTACAGCCCCCAGTTGCCTCTTCCACCTGCCCTGTTTGTGCTTGATGGGTGGGTGAATCAGTTCATTTTTGTTTCTTTTAGGTTCACCTTCTTCCAGTCTGAAGTTCTGCACATTTCCACATCAGTATGTGAGTGCTTTTTTTAAAAAAAAGACACCTCATGAAATTAATCAGTATGTACTTTCTCCTAATACTGTATACATATTTTTGTATGAAATTTGCCAAATCTACACATTTTTGTAAAGCAAATTCCCCAGATATAAAGCAAATTTGTTTGTTATTTTCAGTAACAGATGCATTTCAATGCACACTTCACCCTAGTATATGCATTCTGGAGAAAGGCACTGTGAAATTCAGAGAAGTGAGAATTTTGAATGGCGACGTTTCAGTTTGTGTATTGTTTGGGAAGTGTGACTTAGGTAGTTTCACCTTTAAAAATGAACTGAATTTAATTTGTTTTCCACCCCTACCCTCAAAAGAGATGCTTTGCCTGTACTGTACTGTGCTTTGGAGCCATCACCAACCTGAAGCATACTCATATATCATTCTGAACACGTTACAGCAAGAAACACAGGAGTCCCCTTGGTACATCCATTCTACTCTGTGCTGGTTTGTGCTAATGCTAACACTGTAACAGAAACTCAAATACCAGTGAGAGTGCATAGGAAGCTGCTTTATACTAATCAGACTGCTGCTCCATCTAGCTGAGGGCTGCCTACATTGACCGCAGGGTTTCAGGCAGCTCTGCCTGGGATTGGGCATGGGACCTTTTGCATGCAGAGTATCATGTGCACTACCACTGAGCTATGGCCCATCTCCAGAGTTTTTATACCATTTCTATTGTGACAAAAGTTGCACACCACTGACAAAAGTTGCACACCACTGAGCCAGTGTGGTGTAGTGGTTAAGAGCGGTGGACTCATAATCTGGTGAACCGAGTTCGCGTCTCTGCTCCTCCACATGCAGCTGCTGGATGACCCTGGGCTAGTCATACTTCTCTGAAATCTCTCAGCCCCACTCACCTCACTGAGTGTTTGTTGTGGGGGAGGAAGGGAAAGGAGAATGTTAGCCGCTTTGAGACTCCTTAGGGTAGTGATAAAGCGGGATATCAAATCCAAACTCTTCTTCTTCTTCTTCTCCTCTCTCTGCTGAGTGGTAGCAGGATTCCAGGGGGTTCCTTTGAGAATCAAGACTTGGTGGAGGTTGTCGTAGCTTTAAGAAATATGATTTGTTCACATATTTACACCTGAGTTTGGATGGAGTCCTGTTCTTACAGTATGGTCATCTCAAGAGGGGCTTGTTCCCCTTGGCAGTGCAACTCTGGAGCCCAAGACATCTCTCCCAACCTCCTTTCAACCAAAGATGGATCTCAGTCTTTGTTTCAGCTATGCCAAGCCTCATGCCAAAGGCCCCAAACTCTTTCTATGGCATCACGCCCAGTTGCCCTGGCAACCCTGTTCACGCTTCAGGGCAAGGAGGTTATTATTATAAGAGCAGTTCTCTTGCATTGCCAATGCCCCTCAATGACCCTGAATTGTTTCTTAGCGGCCCTAGTTCGGCCAGGTTGTATTGCATAGGCTAGCCCAGGAATTCCTCTTTGTGATACAGTGGTACCTTGGTTCCTGAACAGCTTGGCTCCTGAACAATTCAGCTCCTGAATGCCGCAAACCCAGAAGTAAGTGTTCTGGTTTGCGAACGTTTTTCAGAAGTCGGACGTTCAACATGGCTTCTGTGGCTTCTGATTAAGTGCACGAAGCTCCTGCAGCCAATCGGAAGGTATGTCTTGGTTTTTGAATGGTTTCGGGATTCCAACTGACTCCCAGAATGGATTAAGTTCAAGAACCAAGGTACCACTGTAGTCTGTAACACTAACACACTGTGTTGTGAATTTCTGCTGCATTTAATAAATCCAATACGTACAAATGTGCTGAATACAGAGTACAATTTTCCTAATGGGTTTGTTTCCGTAAGATGGACATCCAATTTATATTTTGAACTACTAGGATGGTGACACTTTCTTGCAAAATGTCCTTGGGTGAAATAATACACCTGCTTGAGTGAATGCCAGTAATGCAGAGCTATTTGCTTTCAAGGTAAAACTCCTTTTGTGCACGGAATTCTCCAAGTAGGTAATCAGCTATTCAATGCAGGAACACGTTTCGCAAGTCTCCACATATTATGCACGGCAATTTAGTACAGAAGTCACATTCTAGTTAGGAACAAAGTTCTTCCCTTTAGGCAACCAGTTTTGGTTCCAATACAAAGGCTTATTATAGCAGCCAAGTACTTCTCATATGTTATCTGCTGTCTCTTTAACTTTCCTCCTCCTTTCTGGGGATTCCGCCATATGACTCTGACTCATAAATACTCCCTTGAGTCTGACTCGGTTTCATTTGGCTACACTCCAGTAGATTTTGGTAGTACCCCCTTTTGCGTATGCACCCATTTTTATTTATTAATGCCATAAAATGTATATACTGCTTGTTTTTAAAAAATCTCAAAACGGTTTACAAAAAGATAAAACAAGAAAATCCAAGGACAATTCACAACCATACTTTAAAACATACAAAAGTTAAAATGCTAAAACAGATTGAAATTACAGTACAGATCCACATGCAGATAATCAACACACGGTTCAGTCATGGGGATGTAAAAAGTGTTTAACTTGGCTAGCTTGGATTAAAGTACACAGAGACTTCCCATAGATAATATTTTTTCTGGGGGCTTTTAATGCACTGACCTGGGCATATATCCAGGCTGATTTTGGCTTTGAAACAGCCAGACTGATCTCTCTGGAATGTTACCGGAAACAGCCATTTTGAAAGTTTTAACACACAGCAGATACCTAGTCCGACAATCTGATCCGTGCGATTTCAGTTCACATCTTATTTATTCTTCTGAAACTGTACCAGTTTTCTTCATATTTGTTTTCATGTTTCCATGGAAATGCATGAAGCAGCATACAATAACTGAACCTACACATGAGTGTCCATTGCTCCCTTTCATATCCAGCTGTCAGAGTGCTGGTGGCGCTGTGGTCTAAAACACTGAGCCTAGGGCTTGCTGATCCGAAGGTCAGCGGTTCGAATGCCCATGTCAGTGTGAGCTCCCATTGCTCGGTCCCAGCTCCTGCCAACCTAGCAGTTCAAAGAAAAACTGTCTGTGGACAAACATTGGTTCCCTCGGCCAGTAAAGCAAGATGAGCGCTGCAACCCCAGAGTCATTCACGACTGGACTTAACTGTCAGGGGTCCTTTACCTTTACCTTTTTATAAAGTTTTAAAATTTCTGAAATGCAAAACTTGAAATACACTTTTTAGCTGTTTTATATTTGTTATAAATCACCTTGCCACATGCATAAAATGAGATTCAAAACGATAAATAAATATTCTCAATTTCATAGCGACCCCACCCTTCGTTTCAAATTAGCAGCCTAGGGAGTAGTAATGAATACAGACCGTCGAAAATTTTCTGCATATTAAACATTCACTGTACTTTATTTGAATCACCCATATTGTTTTGCCATCCATCGTTGCCTATTGAAACGCCTCAAAATTCGCCCTCAGTCTATTGGCGATGATTTGAGACGGGGCGGGAGGAAGCATCCGTCGGGAACTCGGATGAAAAGCTAGCCTCTGCCTGGACGAGCGCGCTGGTAACGGAGAGGGGATGGGTGTGGCTACAGGCAGGAAGAGCCACGACGCTTGGCCGCCAGGGAGAATCGGAGCGCAGGGCGTGGCAAGCAGCGAGAACCGCAGCGCTTCCCTCGGCGCCTCCACTCTGTGCGCGTAATCGCTGCCGTGCGCTTCGCTGCTCCCCGTCGGCCGAGTTTCGGTGAGTTCCGCGGGCGTGTGGGCCAGGAGTTGTGGAGTGGAGAGGGGGTAATGACACTTCATGGAGAAGTGTAGTGAAGGCTCTTGCAGTGCTCTAATAAACATAAAATAAAGCCCTGCGGTATATAAGTAATGCGTAAACATCGTTGCAGGAGGGAAGGCTTTCTCTGTCTGTGATAGTTCCGTGCGCCTGCTGAAGGGAAGGGGGGACGTGGGGACACGTTTGCCGGGTTGGGCGTTGGCTCCCGACGTGACGATTACGAAATCGGAACTTCTGGGCGCTGGCAGGGAACCCTCCGCTCCGCCTTTTTGCGCCCCCGCGTTTCCTGCGCCCTTTCCAGAGTTTACTGGCAACAGCACAGAGCACAACCTGATACTTTCTGCTCGTCTTCTCTTGCAGCGTCTCTTCTTCGCCGGATCGATTCCCGAAACAATGGCAAAGGTGAGTCATACCCGGCTTCCTTCTCTTTCTCCTTATTAAAATGTGTTTTATTAAATTAACGAAGTGGGTGGGCGGGGAAGCAGCCTTGGCGCCATCTTGCAGGGCTCTCATTTATCTGTATGGGTTCCTTCTCCCAGTCTGTCTCTGAAGAGCTCAGGGCGGTGTGCAGGGTCTCTAACCGCCCTCCCTCTTTATTACAACCCAGTGAGGTAGGTTAGATCGAGGGAAAGTCTCATTAAAACTCACAAAGTAAGCTCTGCAAAGGAACAGTCATGGTGGCTGTTGCCTTTAAAACGATGCTGCTATGGCAGAGACATAAAGTTTTTCTTCCTCTGTTAATTACTTGGAAGTTGGGACCTGGCAGTACATGTGAAAAGGATCTAGGGGTCTTGGTGGACCACAGGCTTAACATGAGTCCACAGTGTGATGCAGCAGCAGCAAAAAAAGCTAATACTATTCTAGGCTGCATCAACAGAAGTATAGTGCCCAGATCATGGGAAGTAATACCTGTAGTACCACTCTATTCTGCCTTAGTCAGACCACACTTGGAATAATGTATACAATGCTGGGCACCACAACTTAAGAAGGATGTTGACAAGCTTGGACATGTGCAGAGGAGGGCAACCAAGATGATCAAGGGTCTGGAAACTAAGCCTTAGGAGGAGCGCTTGAAGGAGCTGGGTATGATTATCCTGGAAAAGAGGAGACTGAGAGGAGATGATATGATGGCCATCTTCAGATATCTGAAGGGCTGTCACATGGAACAGGGAAGATGCTTGTTTTCTCCTGCTCTGGAGGGTAGGACTCGAACCAGTAGTCTTCAAGTTACAAGAACGGAGATTCCAACTAAACATTCAGAAAAACTTTCTGACAGTAAGAGCTGTTCAGCAGTGGAACAGACTCCCACAAGAGGTGGTGGACTCTCCTTCCTTGGAGGTTTTTAAACAGAGATTGGATGGCCATCTGTCATGGATGCTTTGGCTGAGATTCCCGTATTGCAGGGGGTTGGACTAGATGACCATATGAGACCCTTCCAACTCTAAGATTCTATAATTCTATGACCTTGACAGTCTGTTTCCCCATCATTTTTCTTAGTCCCTGCCTTACTGAAGAGGAGTGTTTTCTGGTGGGTGGGGAAGTCTGCCCTACAGATAAAAGGGACTTTCACTTCTGCCCTTAACTTTCATACTGCTCAGTGCTGAATTCCGTCTGAGTCAGTCTATCCAAGAGTTTTATAGAGAGGCAGAATCTGTAGCAACGCGAGTTCAGCCTAATCATGTGAAATCCACGTCAGACTTTCCCCCATTTTCCATTCTTTTAGCCAAGTTTCCTGCACTGTAGTTTTGTGCTGTGAGTGGGCGTTGCCTGTTTCTAGTGGTTAAGAAGCGAGAAGCCAGGCAGAGAGAAAGATTCCAAATTCCACTTTCCTCCTCCCTCTGTTTTCTATTACTTACTCCTTGTGGCCAGACTTCTTTTGCATTACATTCATTTTCTATCTCTCTGAATGACTTTTTTCTTTATAAACCTTAAAGTTAATTTTTTTCTGAATGTATATGAAGACTTTTCAGTATCATCACAAGACTTTACTTTTGAAGTGTCCAGGAATGGCAGCTGAAGGACTAAACACATGTGACTACAGATATTTTATAAGTTTACAAAAAACAGCCATTTGCCCCAGTGTCATAGTGCTAGCCCAAATTGCCCCATCCCTGAGCTGCTATTAACCAGAGAGGAAGAAACGTATGAGGTTAATACTGTAGTTTAAATGTGCAACTTTATTTTTCTGTATTGCAATAGCAGCTTTGAGGAATGACACTGAGTTGAGAAATCAGTGTGGTGCAGAGACTCCACAGGTCCTGTGCAAATCGAACTTCCTCGCACTGGGGCTGCTGTCTGTAACATAAGATGTTTGGATTCCAGTTAAGGAACTCCCCTATCACGTGTAGTTTGACTCTTAAGAAAGCTTGGAAAACTCAAAAGAGGAATCTCTGGGAAAAATGGGCCACTCTATATGTGGCAGTTGTAATGCAACTTGGTTGTAGGTAAATGATTTTCTTTCATAAATAGATTGGGAGCATGGCACAGTGGGAGAGGCCTTTAAGCTTTTGCCCCGGCCTCATTCCTGGTTGGAACATGTCCCCATGTTTGTCACACAGCTCCCACTGGCACTAGTGGGTCCAGCTGCTTTGCTATCACTCAGTAACTTTGAGGGGATTGTGCAAAATGACTCCGTTGTAAGATGTTGTCCTGAAGGCTTTATGTGATATGGTGCTTTTGCTCAAAGTGTTTAATCCAGTGTTTCTCAACCTTTTTCCTATGCGGCCCCCTCCCAACATTGTTTCCTTCCTGTGCCCCCCTCATGGGCGTAGCCAAGGGGGCCGGGGGCCAGCTGCCCCACCAATAAGTAAAAATCAATACAAATCTGAGGTTCTGCCCCCCCAAGAAAAGTCTGCCCCCTAACAAAAATTCTGGCTATGTCCATGCCCCCCCATCCCTCTGCCAGAAAGGTAGCTATTTAAATGTTTTGTTTGTAAATAGGACATACTTTATTTATATTTTTTATAATTTATACAAAAAAACAAATGCAAAAAATGATGGGAACATAATGAAATATTGTTGAAGCAGAAAAAACACACCCTAGAATGGAGCTGGAAGGGTCATCTTTCTAGTGCAACCCCCTGCAATTCAGGAAACTCAGCTCCATGACAGACGGCTATCCGACCTCTGCTTAGAAACCTGGGCTGATGCTGCTGGCGGGCCCTGCACCCCTCTGCAACATCCGAAGCTCCTGATCCGCTAGGCGCTGGGGTGGATTGAACCCTGCGCCTTGCAGAGTCAGGCCCAGGCTGCCACTGGGCCCAGCACTGGCAGCAGCAACAAGCAGTTCCGGCTCGCCCAGCCCTACTCATTGCCACCCCACCACCGCAATTACCTGACCTGGAGGTTCTGGATCGCAGGCTCTAGTGGTCAAAACGGGAGCCTCAGCTATCGCCCTCTCCCACTGAAAACAAACCAGGACCGCTCCAAGAAAACACACATGGCAAAAAGGAGCATTAGGCCCTGGTGGGCCACCCCCTTGCCCACTTGTGATTGGCCAAGCGGGACAGCCAGCCAATCAGGATTAAAAAATAAAATAAAATTATTTTCACCATTTCTCACTTCCTTCTGTGGCCCCTAGCCTTGTGCTGTGCCCCCCCCCCCATTTATACATTTTCACTTTGAATATCCTGGGGGGTCAGGGGGGTCATATGGCCCTTAGTTGGGAAACACTGGTTTAACCAGAAGTTGGTTGCCATTCATAAACATGAGAATCAACACTCAGTCTGAACAAAACATCTGAGAAAAATACATTGACATGGGGCTACAATCCAGGAGGAAGCTGGGCTGCCTACACATTGAGCATCCTTGCTCTGTTCCCAGACCTTCATGTGTTGGGTGCATAGGCTTTTTCACATGGCCAGGGAACTCCAACTGTCTGTGCTTCCTGAATTTCATGGGGAGCCTAAGCGTTTTCTGCCAGATATCCATAGGTTCTCTCTTCAGATCTTTTACTCAACACAGGAAGATATGAGTTGGAGATATCAGATCCAGCATTTGTGCGCCTCTCCATGCATTCATTAGAATGTGTGTGAGATAACTTCTGAAGAGGGAGTAAGGGAGTAAGAGGCAAAATAATGTGAAGTACCCGGCTCAGCTCATACAAACATTCCATTTTCTGAATTCCATGAAGCTCAGTTTGATCTTTGAGAAGATAGATGAGACAGAGAAACAGCTTGATTATTTAATCGGATGCTGAATGATGTAAATGAAGTAAATAATAAGGGGCTCAGAACAGCTAGTTTTGTCTGCAGTTACTCTGATTCTTGAAGCCTGGGAAATAAGTCTGTTCAAATATCTTCCACATCATATCTAGTCTGGCACTGTGATAACATTCAAAGCAGCATGGGCAAATCTGGCTTATGAGGAATGAACAAGCAGGAGCTAACTACAAGTGAAGTAAGATAATTTATTAGTCTTATGGAAGGCATGCTAAAGAGTAGATTACAGAAGTTACTGGCACTTAGCATTTGCCTAGTCTTGCTCTGCTGTAGCCTGGGTTGACTAACAGTTGTAATGTTATATCACAGTACTGTCACCTAATGTCTAGAATAACCACCTTGCTGCAATGATTACCCACGTCCTTTGTAATTGGAGTAGTTTAGCTTTTCTAACAAAGCTGTTTCTATAGTAGCGGTGCACAACTGTTACATGCTTGGATGTTGTCCCAAGATGCTAGGAAAGGAAGCCCAGGACATTAATTGAGTTGATTGCAATGTGTGTACATTTGGAGAATATGCAGTATAAAAGATGTGTGTACTGTTTTTAGGTATGTTTAATTGGGCAGTCCTTAAACCAACATTGCTACTTTTTCTGGGTTTTTAAAAATAATTTTGTACGAAGGGCCTCTACTCATGTACAGAGTGTCTTCCTACTCAAGAATGCACATTTGGAAAAAAAAGGGTCACTCAAATGGCTTAAAACCTGAACAGTCCTTGCCACACATCCATGATTTGTTATGAAACTATTTATATTCAGGGAAAGTATATTGTAAAATATATGCATATTGCATCAGCTGGAAAGGGTGGGGCACATCCATTAATTTAGCTTTTTAAAAACCATAGGTTTGGTTCTTTTCTGGTTGGTGCTCATAAGGTAAAGGTAAAGGTACCCCTGCCCGTACGGGCCAGTCGTGTCCAACTCTAGGGTTGTGCGCCCATCTCACTTAAGAGGCCGGGGGCCAGCGCTGTCCGGAGACACTTCTGGGTCACGTGGCCAGCGTGACGAAGCTGCTCTGGTGAGCCAGCACCAGCGCAGCACACGGAAACACTGTTTACCTTCCCGCTATAAAGCGGTATCTATTTATCTACTTGCACTTAGGGGTGCTTTCAAACTGCTAGGTGGGCAGGAGCTGGGACCGAAAGACGGGAGCTCACCCCGCCGCGGGGATTTGAACCGCCGACCATGCGATCGGCAAGTCCTAGGCCCTGAGGTTTTACCCACAGCGCCATCCGCGTCCCGGTTGGTGCTCATACTCCTTTATAAAAAGAAAAATGATTGATTCATTCATCTATCTTTCATAACATACATGATCTGCATGTATGTTGCACTTCAATGTATGTATCCTATAGGAATTGGCCCCTAGAGCACACATCCCTGGAGACACAAAGCAGGCTCATTCATATTGTGAGCACACTCAGAAGTGTTTTCCTGTTAGCGTGGGTGGCACTGTGGTCTAAACAACTGAGTCTCTTGGGCTTGCCGGTCAGAAGGTCGGCGGTTTGAATCCCTGCGACCGAGTGAGCTCCTGTTGCTCTGTCCCAGCTCCTGCCAACCTAGCAGTTCAAAAGCATGCCAGTGCTAGTATATAAATAGGCACCACTGTATTGGGAAGATAAACGTGTGCTCTGGTTTCCGCCACGATGTTCCATTGCACCAGAAGCAGTTTAGTCATGCTGGCCACATAACCCGGAAAGCTGTCTGTGGACAAACACCAACTCCCTGGCCTAAAAGTGAGATGAGTGCCGCAACCCCATAGTTGCCTTTGACTGGACTTAACTGAACAGGGGTCCTTTACCTTTACTTATATATACATAAAACAATTTTTCAGAGCAGGGCAGACTTGAAACATTACAGGTTTGTTGCTGTCCAGGCCATGCTTGGTTGTTTCCCATCCTGCTTTTATTTCTCGTCCTGCAGCATTTTTAAGGTTTTTGAAGCATTTTGTTGACTGTGGGAAGTGGGGGGGGAGAGAAGAAGAATGGTATGGGACACATTAATACAGACTTTTAAATACTCGGTGCTAGCTTCTGCCAATAAAATTAGCAATAATAAATGGGTCGGGGATGCAGGTGCAATGGCACAAATTGGTCAAAATAAATTGGCTGCTCACCCACCCACAAGTGTTCTAATGGAAGAGAGCCAGGAAGAGACCTCTTTCCAAGTCAGTTTCACAAAAGCATGGAGCTTTGCTATGAGGTGCAAGCATAGGATTGCAAAAAGGAACAGTGAAGAAGAAAGGCCTTCGAATCCAGTGTGAGTCATGTTGTCTCTTTTCCACTACCTGAAAACAGATGGTGCGATTCCGCAACAAGCTGCTGGTTTGGAGGGACCCAAGAAGAATATAGTTGTTCTCTTGGATCAATTATCAAAGGAGAACATGGATTGGATTTTAATAGTGGTGTAGCAAACAAATGAATAGGCAAGGGTGATGTTCTTAAAAGTAAGTGCTTAGGAATTGATGGTGTAGCTAAGGACCAAAAGTGGATGGTTATGCAACAGACAGCCTTGCAGTGTTTTTTAAAAAAGGAGAAGTAGCTGCAATCTGGTGTGAAGGAGTGGTGGAAGGAGAGACTGCTTAACCCTTTCCCATCCCGTTGTTGTCTACTCAAAATCCCTCTGTTGATTTTTCTTCCCACGGAGTGGGAGAGAATTACAAAGTTTTCTCATTTATAAAGGATATTTTTAATGGGAAAATGGCAGGAGAGGGAAGAGTTAAACAGTCTTTCCTCTGTTGAACTTCCATTCAAACTGGCAGGTTTCCATAACTCCTATTGTTTTTAAACTAAAGCAGCCCACAGGCCTTGGGAAGCTGTTCAAACATACCTTGGCTGATCTTTCTCTCCCCTTACATCACTGCTTAGCTTGTCTTCTCTCCCATTCACCTTCTGCTAACTCTCCTGTTTTCAGAGCACACGTATGTTTGCAGACTCTAGTCTCCCCACCACCACCCAGATAGCGTTGTTTACATAGTTCAATACTGGCAGCTGTCCTGGCTAATGAATTAATGGGCAGGCTGGTAGTTTTCCGCCTGGGTTCTGCCGCAGCAAAATCCTAGTAAGTTACCTTCACAATGAATGTCACTGTCTTTAGTCGGAATGCTAGCATTACAGTGGTTAAACGTGCATATACTTGCAAGAGGAGGGCTTCCAATCATCTGAGCTGTTTAACTAGGATTGCTTGTGTGTGAACGGAAGCTCGTTGCAAAACTCTGCATGCAGGATTGAGTCTTCAGTGTACTGCATGCTCCTCCCCAACCCTTCTGTGGTATTTCTCTCCATCATAAGCATTCTGCTGGCATTTGCCCACACATGTTATGATAAGATCTGGAAATGAACACTTATGCCAACTCTGTGTAACTCTTTCTTCCTAACTGCACACGGCATTGCAAACAGCCTGTTCTCAGCATGTTCTCTTAATTGTAGTGTAAGTGTTGTAACCCTAACATAAACAACAGACAGCCCCAGAAAACTTAGCTGAACTGGGGAATTAATTCAGCCATACTGAAAAAAAGCAAGTACCTCTTTAATTTGGCTGCAGTATCTTTCCCCCTCATATGTATTTAATACCAAGATGAAAAAAATAATCCTTGCTGATCTCCTAGTCTTGAGACACTTTCAGATTAATTTTTTAAAACCTTCCTCCACACCAGTTCATACGCTAATCAAAAGGTTATTTTAAACTGATTTCAATAGACAGTATACATGCATTAGTCTTCTTATCCAAACGCTCCTTTAAACCCAAATTTTATTTATTGATTCATATTTTAAAGCTAAGAATCATTTGTAAGCAGTTTGTAATAAGAATAACAGGGGCCTGCAGTTATTGGCCTTGATATGAAAAATGGAGGTCACGAATTTCCTCTTTGCTAAGGAAATGCCTTACTAGCCAGTTGTTTCAGACAGGCAGGCAAGGAGCTTGTAAGCTTGACCCTTTGTAAGGAAGATGCTTTGGGGCCTTGCTTCCAGGTGTCCAAGAAGGGCTCTGGTTGTCTTGCCTGCAGGGAAAGGGGTTGTTAGAACAGTTGGAAGGCAGGGGTGCTGGACAAGCAGTCAAACAACCCTTGGCCTTCCAGCCTTGGAGCTGGGAGGGAGCAGAGTCACCGCACAACTGCTGGAATAATCCTGTCTTAAATCTTCCACTACAAAGATGGTGGTGGTGGGCCTAGTCATTTGCTAGAGGACACTGGCACCCTTGCCACAATGAGCAGAAACATAGAAGTCTGAACAATAGTATTTATTTGTATTGATTATAAGTTTGGGCAGGGTATGCCAGTGGATGTGGAGATAATCATTCTGAATTTAGGGGCAGAAAAATAGTGTGTACTAGTCTTTTGGGGTCTTTTGAGCTTTCTAGTCCAGAATAAATTGAATAAAATGTGTTATGTCTGACATGTTGTTATGTTGCCTGTTGCATTTACTTTGCCTAGATTGTTTTTTTTTTAATGTAGTGTAGCATGGCAGCTATCCTACTGGGATATAATGATTCCGCTTTGGCTTAGAATAACACACACAGCTGCTGCCAGATAAATTACAGCTGCTGTTCAGATGCCAATTCTGTTTTGTCCTCTGTCTTTGCCTTTGACTGATGGTTGCCCTCTGAACCACCTTGGCCTTCCCTTTTCCAAGTTTTCTAACAATAGAGCAGATTAATTGAAACTGGCGAATAAAGAGTTGAATTTCCTTGCTGGAGTCAGAGAACAATGCTAGCTTAATATAACCCAACAAGTAAGAATAAGAAGATACTTACTGCCATATTGTGAAACTTGCACATACTGTTACAATATCAGTAGTGTAGACTGTAAAACTGAGGGTTATTTGGAGGAAAGGAACAGACGAAAAAATGAAATGGCCCTTCACACAACTGTTTTATTACCATAGGTTGACATCTAGGATAGATTCAGGTGAGTATCTGAGGTTGTGAAGGCATGAGGGAGTTCTTCATGTGGTGACCATTTGCAAGCAAACACATTGGTGTACCACAAATCTTTGTTTCCCCTTCCTGTTTACTCTGCATCTTAAAGGAATTTCATGAGGCGATGGTCTGGATTATCCTTGAAACTTCTAAAGTTGTCCATTTATCTTTGTTGTCAGTTCTGACAAGAGATCAGTAAGGAACCCATTCACATTATTTTGAATGGAATTGACATGTATTCTGGTGTCCCAACATCGTGTGACCACTGAGTCTTCTCTTCTCAGGTGTGTACCACTGGTGCACAAGGCAAATCCATGCACAGAACCTGCAGATTTCGGTCAGGAGGTGATGAACTGGATTTCACCTTGTAAATAAATTCAAAAAGCTGTGTACCCATTTGCCCAAACACCAGTAATTGATTAAGTTACAACAGGAAGGCTCAACCATTGTGATTCCAAAGCACAAACTTTCCCAAGAACACTTGCCCAGTCCCTGAAGAGAAGGGTTGTATAAGGAGTCTTGTTTATGAAGACTGGGACACCTAGTAGCCATCTTGGACACCTATAATCCTAGACTTTTGGCCATTGTGGCTGGGGCTGATGGGAGTTTGAGTCCAACAACATCTGTGGAGGGCACCATGTTGGCTACCCCTGAATTTAGGGGCACATGAATTCTCTTCAAGAAAACGATGCACTTTCGTGAAACTTTGTTTGTTTGTTTAAAAAACCCACACACAACATTTTATTTTGCCTTCTATATTTGGATGCCTTCTTCAGGGACTTGCATTAGATGTTTGGGAAGTGCAACTAACTAGCTTTTTGTCCAGCCCTTAATTATCTGACTGGAGGATTTTATCTTATTTTTGTGTTGGAAAGTTTTGTATTTTAAATATTTTATTTTTCAAATGTGTTTGTGCATCATAACATTGAGTCAAACTTGTTGGATTCTTATGGTTCAGGTCTTTTAGCTATTGTGTTAATGATTAATGATTAATTAATAATCATTCGATGATTAAGGATCCCCCCCCGCTTTTGGAGTTATCGTAATATTGCCCAAACTGCAATGCCTTAATGTAATGTCGTGTTTCTTTCTAGTATACAAAAGGCACCGTGAAGGATTTCCCTGGCTTTGATGCCAGAGCTGATGCTGAGGTCCTTCGAAAGGCAATGAAAGGCTTGGGTAAGGCATTAATTGTTTTACAGACTAGGTGGACCATTATCAGTTAATCAACATGTTCGGATTCCTGCTTCATCCCTTGACATAGCAGTCATTCACTGATGTTTGGATAAGCAGGATATGACATACTTAGAAAAGCAATCATTAACAATGTGTTCCAGTAAAAGTAACTGTCCATTCCCCCTCCCCCCGAACAGTGGAAGTCCTGTTCTAAAATAGTTACATTTCTCAGGAAATGTTAATTATTTTTTTCTAAAATAAGGGCATCACTGATTGATTAAAGTGTGAGCTGGAAGCATTGGTTTGGCTTCATTATGTCAAAGCATAGACAAATTTGATTAGCTATTTGGCATCATTGGGAAGCCTGATCAGAATTAGAGTGCTACTTCCTGCTCCCACTCGGATGCAGTGTTGTTGTATCACTAAATCTAATTGGTTGCCTAACACATAGTGGTTCTTGATTGGCTGGGGTTACCTTGGGAGAGGCAATTTCCCCTTTTCCTTTTAATGGCGTTGAAGCAGGAGGTTAGAGAACTAATTAGTTGCAAGCAGTGCTTGAAAAAAAGGTAATTGGAGTTCATGGAAATCTCCCTCATAGACCAGGTACTTTCATGGGCAGACATCTGGTATAGCCATGCCATACTAATAATGCATGTTAAAATATGTTTGGATTGGAGATTGTATAGTGAAGTAGAGAGATATTTATATAACTTTCTTCCGGCAACACAGAATTTCTAGAAAGTGAATATTTATGTGTACTGTAGCCTATTTTCAATGCTTGACATATTCATCTACAAAATATTTATGTTCATCATTGCAATCAATCACTCTGTTTTTAATTTGCATAATTTAAGGAACGGATGAAGACCCAATTGTGAAGATTCTAACGAACAGAAGCAACAAGCAACGCCAGGAAATTGCGGTGGAATTTAAAACGTTGTTTGGCAGGGTAAGGAGGCTACTTTGGGTTGGGAGTTGATTTGTGTGCACTTGTCTGTGTAATATGGATTTAGTGATGAATAATACTTCAGGTCTACTGGTTGCAAATTTTTTATTACTCCATGCATGCAACCCCAGATAAATACCATACTTTTCTGTGTACAAGACTAGGTCTTTTTTAAACTAAAAAATAATGTTAAAAAAGGGAGGGATAGTCTTATACATGGGGGCAATCTCCCCCCATTTTCTTAATTTTGAGTCCCCCAAAATAGGGGGCTTCGTATACATGGAAAAATACGGTATACACCCTTCATGAACTTTTCATTCATCCTAGTGATGTTCCAGTTTTTATGGCTGACGGGTTAATTTTAAACTGCATTTCTCATTAGTCAGGCATTTCTTATTAATTAGGCATTCTTCATTCTGTCAATTAGGACCTGGTTGATGACTTAAAATCGGAGCTTACAGGCAAATTTGAGAGACTGATGGTTGCTCTGATGAGACCTGCACGGCTTTTTGACGCCCATGCACTGAAGCATGCCATTAAGGTAAAATGAGTGGCACAAAATGAAAATATTGATGACTTTTTCTTTAGGAATGTATCTCCTATCATTATGTCTTCCTGTCATTATGATGATGATCATTCTGCTTGATTATTTATGGTGATTGCTTTCATTTTAATGATCTCATTTATTTTCTGATCCACCTGAGTAATTCCAGAAACATCTCAACCACTTGAGTTTTCAATGGTCTTTTGTCTTGTGGAAGAAGTGCAAACAATGTCTGGTCCGTAAGAGTGTGTGCAAAAAAGCCATGCATGCCGAATGCTCGAATTTCGCAATCGCAAGGTGTCTTTCCTTTTAAAGTGGCCCTCTATGTAAAATTTATGAGCGAATCCCATTGTTCTGCTTCCAGTGGAAGTTTTTAATGGCCATTAATGGTTCTAGTTTGTGATTAAGTATATTACATGCATTGCTATTCTTAGGGATGGGGGAACCAGCAAGGAAAGTTCACAAGAGTTCTGCCTGATAAACACTGCATTTTGATTCACAGAGTAGCCAACCAGGTTCCTATGCAAAGCCCATTAATGGGACACAAAGACAACAACTTGCTCCCATGTTGCTTCCACCAAGAGGTATTAAGAGGCATCCTCCCTCTGGGCCTAGTGATTCATTGTGATTTAATAGCAACTGGCCACCGCATTATCTTACGATGGCAAATTCCGTAATTACCTGTTGTCTGCCCTGAATTACCTTCTCATCAATTTCATTAGATGGCATCAGTGAGAGGGAATAAAACTCCCTCACTTTCTTCACACCATGCATAATCCTGTACGCCTCTTATTATGTCTCCTCCTTTGCTGTCCCACTTTCTACTCTAAAAAAACCCTAGTTGTAGGTTTTCCTCATAAGGCAGGCCCCTTGTCATTTTTGTTGGCCTTTCCATGTAAGACAGATAACCATTCTGTAAAACTGCTCACATTTGGCAATTTCTCTCAGCACCTTTTGTAAGCACCTTTCCAATTTCAGCACAGGGCTTAGGCTGGGAAACAAAATAATCTTTAGATATTATGTGCAAATGTCTGGTTAGATCAAGAACGTTTAGCAGAGACAAGCCCTCCAAGATACAGTTACTTACTAGTACAGTTATTCAACTATATAAACTGTTTCCAGTTGCTTATCCACTCTGAGCAGAGTATTCTAGCCAAATATTGATTTTGCTTTCCCAGCTAGGAATTTGAGGGGGAAGGCAACTGGAAAGTTGACATACTGGGGTGGCTGAGTAAATGAAAGGACCATGATCTCATATTAATTTTAAGAGATAAAAATAATAATCATTAAGCTGACAGAAGGGGGAACAGGGATGGAATGGTTAATGATTAAAAGACTTGTTACTCAAGCCAGCTTGGTTATATTATGTAGAATGTGTAGACGTTTGTCGGAGGTTTGTGGTTTTTTTTAAGCCTGATGAAAGCAGCCATTGATAATTCTCCATGACCACCCGCCTTACAACTTTTCTGATGTTTTACCCTCCTGCCTCAGAGGCTGGAATGACATTTTGGGTACTAGAACCCACACTGAAAGTCCACACCTCTGCAGGGCACCTGTAAATGGTGACAAGCACACGTTTGGAGCCTGGCTGGCTGAAAAGCAGTGCTTTACCTAGATTTCCAAAGGGTCATTTCTCTCATGAACCTGTCTGCATGTTGCAGAAGAGGCCTTGTTACACTTTCCTCCACTGTCTGTGGAGGCAAGGATCCATAGCCAGGCCTTAGTACTGGGCCCACCCTTTGAGTTTCACTTCCCACAAGGACTTGGCAAGGCCTTTTCCTGTGTGTTCAGATAGCAACTGAAGACAGTGCTGATTGAGTTTATTTATTATGATGTTCACTGAGCATTGATTTCTTCCCTCCCTGCCCCAGTTGCTGTTCAGTTTTTTTGTTTGTTTTGGTGCATTTTGTATTTCATTTTAGTGTATTATATAGTGGGTGCAAGCCACTCTTTCAGTCCCACATTTGGACAGAAGTGAAATGGTTTTCTAAATTATTAAAAAGCATCTGGTGGGAGAAGGTTCTGGGGGACAAAAGCAGGGAAAGGATTAAGCACCCTCTTTCCCCCACTGTTTCTCCATTGCAAATGCCCCAGATTTTCAGACTTTGGTCTGCCACTGAAAGTTGAGTAGTAGCCCTATGAATGCTACAGGATAAAAATAGGGGAGCATCTTTGCCACTTGCAGTCTATTTCTTGCCCCAATTCAAACAACTTTACATTATTTGGCACTCCCAAAATATAGGAAGTAAATAAAAATAAAATACAGATTTTATACTGACAGTGGTGGAAAGCAAATACATGACCTCTTTGCTACATGGCAACTTCTGCACAAATTAGTGCAACTGACATCTCAACATCGAACAGATGGCATGAATTGGCTCTTGATTTTGAAGCATCCCTATGTGTTCAGAATAAAGAATTACTTTGTTCACAAGTGTTGCAAATACATGCTGAGTAGTAAGCTCTGAAAAGAGGGGAGTGAAGTGAATCAAAATGGTTTATTATCCATAAATTCAGCCAGATGTTTGCAGAGCAAATCTGGGCTTGTAGTGATAAGGTAGTTTAAAATATTGGCTTTCAAAGTATTATCTTGTAGAGTTGTAATGTGACCATAGATATTAGAAGAAAGATACATCTATACAAAGTAGCAATTAAGTAATTGCATTGGCAATGCAACTCTAGAACTATTTAGAGTCCTGGGCACTGTCAAGGTCACTTCCTAGCCAAAGGAATGCACACGGCTGATAGTTAAATATTTATTGTCAAAGATAACACACACAGTCACTTCTACAGCTCCGGATATCTACGCAATACCAATCTAACAGCTAGGCAGCTATTCCCTGGTCCGCGTTCTATGGAGCAGTTGCAGCAACAGGGGACCACCTCTGTTCCACCGGTTTATGTACCTTCCACTGATGGGTTTCATGCATGTAGCCAGAGACTATGTCTGCGTGGAAGCTTCCTCCATTCCTCCCTTTTGTATTCTCTCCTGGTTCTGGGGGACAGTGGTGTGGGATGTAAAACCGCAGTCAAGTACAACATTCCTACAGTGGACATGTGACTTGAAGAGGGTGTGGTCTGTTGTACTAGCATGGAGGAGCACACGGCCTCCATGTTATGATCAGTGTGTGTGTGTTCTCCATTTTGGATGTTGCTATGTATTTGGAGAAGGGACTGCTTAGCTGCAGTCACTTGGGACTAACTTCTTTATGGAATAGTTCTAGTTGTTAAGTACAGTCATACCTTGGGTTAAATATGCTTCAGGTTGAGCATTTTCAAGTTACACTCCGTGGTGATCCGGAAGTAACGGAACGCGTTACTTCCAGGTTTCGCCACTCGTGCATGCGCAGACGCTCAAAATGATGTCACGCACATGCGCAGATGTGCAGTCACGGGTTGCATTCTACTCAGGATGCAAACGGGGCTCCGGAACGGATCCCATTCACATCCAGAGGTACCACTGTACTGTAACCTAAGCCTACCTTCAGGGATATGTCTGGGAACCGGAATGAATCTGTGAGTAAACTATTTTTATAATAACGTTAATCAGATTCTTTTGTTTATTCTTTTAAGAGGGAAAGGCAAGGGATTTTACTAGGAAGGAATCTTTAATAGTAAGACTCAGATGAGTCAGGAGCAAGCTGATCGTTGCGTAATCTGAAAAGGGGGATGTTTGGAACTCTGCTAGAATATGGAACTTGCTAGCGCAAGTTTGGAAGGATATTATTAAATAATATATCCTCTCCTGCCTCCCCAATCATCCCCACAAGTGGTACATGACCGGGTGAGAAAGCACCTGGCCTTTCACTTGCCTGACCTGCCTCTTCTGCCTTATCTTCCTACCCATCCTATGCTCCACTCTCCAGCTCTGAAGCTTTTCCTGCCTCTGCCTCTTGCCTCCTGGCTGGTACAGATTCCCATTGACCACTGCCCCCTTCTCCTGATTCAGACTCCAGCTTGCTGCCCCCCCCAAGTGCAGACAGGAATTGCAGTGAAATAACGTGGTCTCAGGAAACTCCTCTCCACCCACCTATTTTCTCAGGAAACAAGGCATATATTCCATTCTTGTTAAGAATTAGAATGGAGTTATGAACTAAGCTGAAGTTTCGTCTTCTGTTTTCTTCATAAACTTCCATTTTAAAAATAATAATAATAATAAAAGTTTGTAACAACTGGTGATCAGAAGGGGACCTGAGGGCTGGAGGAAATCTGGCTGCAAGCCACATCTGATCTGTGAGCTGGGCGTTCTCCTCTCTTGGTTTAACCCCCCAAAGTGGATCATTTCTGTCTTGAATGCTTAATAAATACATTCATTTATAATGAAACTTTTAAAAAGCAATCTTGATCCCATTAGCAGGCATGCTTATTTGCTCTTTGTATTTATTGGGCAACAAGAGCTGTTATAAAAGTAACCACTAATGGCTCTTAGCGCCTCTTCTTTGCTTCTGTTATAAACTTTGCTGGTGGAAAACGGTTGTATTGGAGGAAATAGGAGGCAGATTCAAGCACACACTTTCCTGTACACATACAGAGAAATACCATGACCTCATTGTCTCCGTTCCACAGCTGGACATCTGTCATCTGGCAGTACTACTGATAAGAGATGGTGGTCATTCTGTTCTTTGGTGAGGCGAAAACCATCCACTTGGCAGGCCCATTAGGATTTTCTTTTAGTTTTATTAAAAGGACCGTGTTGTAGGAATCCTTATTTCAGCTCTTAACTCTGCCACGTTTCCTGTGTGAGTCAGTGCAAATTCTATTTCTGGGTCTTCATGTACCCTTATTGACGTGGCATTCAGGAAGCAGAACTTTGTAGTCTTGAGCATTATGAATTTCTTTCAAATGCATTTTAAGTAATTAAACGTTTGAGGTGTGGTGTTTTTGGTTTTTTAAAGAAAATTCTGTAGAAAATGAACATTCTCATGAGATTAAGATAGAGGTGTATATTGAACAAAAATAACTTACATTATTTCATCAACCAAATCCATTAATTACAGGGGGCAGGAACTGATGAAAAAGTCCTTACTGAAATTCTTGCATCCAGAACACCAGCTGAAATCCGGAATATAAAACAAGTTTATCAGGAAGGTAAAAGCAGTGCTTTTTCTGTGTTTTGAAACGCTATTGTACTTGCAGGAGCTTTTGTCTGTGCATGAAATAATAGAATAAGGAAAGTGGAAAATATACAGAATGCAATTTCAGTACTTGGAGAGATAAGGCTTGTAAAAGCTTCAAATGCCCTGTTTTGGGTGCACGTTCTTGTGCTTTGCACTACATAATTGAATTTCTTCCTTCAACATTTTCTTTAGAATTTAATTCAGTCAACGAACAGGATTCTAACAACATGTGAAAGAGGGAATTCGGTACCACTTAGTGATTTGAAAAGGCTTATTCTGAACCATTGATTGTAGATAAAGTATTTATTTCCTGGTTCAAAGTTCTATTAAGGCTGCTCTTTTCAGCATTGTTTATAAGTTACAGTCAATACAGTCAATTGGATGGGATTGCTTTTTTAAGGGGGAGGAAAATATCACAAAGCATAATAGAGTGAGGCAACCAATTCACACTGTTGTTTTTGTGCTGCAGTTTCTCTTTTCAGATAGGCTCTCTGGTAGCTCTACTATAGAGGAGGAATCTGCTGATGGTTAGCTTTGGGTAGCTGTGTGACTTGTAGTATCAATGAGCATGTCTGATCTCAGGGGTGGGAAACTGTTTGCATGGAGGGAGGGTAGAAGAATATCAGAAGCCCAGTCCACACCTTACCTTCACATAGATCTCTTGCATGAAGAGGAAGGAGACCAATGGCCTTGCCCCTGCCACATCCACTTGTCCAGTGTGGTTGTCTGTGAAGGGGCAGTTGTGCATGAATAGCTGAATGCATGAAAGTGACCCATGTGTCGGGCGACTATGTCAATGTCTGTCTAAGTTTCTCATTTTTCCAGTCTTCGGTTCACCATATTTCCACATCAGTGCAACCTCTTTTAAAAAAGAAGGCCCTGGTGCAATTTGGTGCAGATACACACATTTTTGCGAGCAATGTAATGTATGTAATATATGTTTTCATTCATAAAAAACGTACTTCGGTGACTTGCAATTCTAGTTGTTTTATATACATATGTATGACATCAACATAAAGTAGCTCACATTTTGTACAGTGATGGGTGTGTTCCCTTTTTTTTGCAGAATATGAAGCTGACTTAGAAGATCATGTAACTTCAGACACTTCTGGTTTCTATCAGAGGATGCTGGTAGTTCTTCTTCAGGTAAGCATCCACAGTAGATGGCTTAAGCAGGAAGTTCAAGGCAAGGGTTGCTTTATTTAAAGTGGAGTCTCTGCATTATGGCTCCAGTATATGTTTTGTGGGGGGGTGGGATTCATCTCCCCCAAGCCTGTTTATACGTGGGTCCTTGCTTCTTTAAGGGTATAGTTCAGACATTTTCCCCTAATAGCCTGTGTCCCATAGAACACAGGGTGGAAGGAAAACATGAATCAAAGAGCATAAATGTTGTAAGTTCTGGGGTCCTGTCCCAATTTCCTAGACCATCTTCACCATTTCCTCTTATTATTTTCTTTTTAAATGACTTTCCCCCTTCCTTTCCTCCTTCGTACCTGCTCCTTGGAACCCCTACGCCAGTTTTAGTAGTACTGTAGAAAAGGTTACTATTGCAGGATGGGTGTCTCTTGTCCAAATGTGCCATCCTTGACAGTAAGGGTACTTTCCAACAGATTTTCCCTCGGGTCTTGGCCTGTTTGTTTAGTATCCATAGCTCAAATGCAACATGGCGGCCATGCACAACTTGGCTCTGTCTATCTGCATACTGGAGACAGTGAATCACATAGGGCATGTGTAGCCCATGCACAGTGCCTACCAAAGAAGGCTGAGGTGGCTGCAAAAAACTCTTTGGGAAGGACCATAGCTCAACCGTAGAGCATCTGTCTTACATGCATCCCAGGTTCAATTCCTGCCATCTCCAGGTAGAACCTGGAGAAACTTCCTGTCTGAAACTATGGAGAGCTGCTACCAGTCAGTGTAGACAATACTGATTGAACCATTGGTCTGACTCGGTATACGGCAGCTTCTTGTGTTTCTCTTTGCCATATCTAAACCTTTTTCGACAGTGCAGAATTTTTATACCTAAGTATATTCATCTCATTATATTCATGAACCCATTCTATCCCCCCCCCCTTTATCTCATTTAGGCCAATAGAGACCCCGATAGCCAAGTGAATGAAGCGCTGGTCGAGAAAGATGCTCAGGTAAGACTCTCTACTTGTCCTTTCCCCCAAGCGTTTTTGAAAAAGCACCCTAAAAATATATGCAAGTAGAAGTTCACTTTGAGGGTGCAATTCCAGCATGGAAATGTAGATCTGCAGCCCATTCAGTTGTGCGTGCATTGAGAATACAGGCCTTACAAATTATTTTTATTTCCCTTGTTTTCATCTTACATTCTGCAGTCACTGCATTGTACAAACTTGGCAAATAAAGGAAGCACTGTTTGGAACTGGTCCCGAAGGGCCCCTGCATTTCAGAGCCCTGTTCTCAGCCTGTAAAAGGCATACATTTTGAATATTTTTGCAAGTGAGAATTCCTGGAGTGTTTTGATGCAACTTACTGAGCCTCTGTTAAGCTTGCAGCCACCATTTTCATTTTTTTTCAGAATGATCCATTCTGAGGTGCCTTTAGGGAAAGAAATAGCTGCAACCAAAAAAGAATGAACCTCACTTTTTTGGGTGCGGTGGCCATCAATTTCTTTCCATTCTGGGAAAACCGCCAGCAGCCTGATAGAGGCTCAAGAACGTTAATAGGTCTCCCCCTTCCCAAACAATAAGAAAGAAGGGGGTGCAGGTTCACCTTCCTCTTTTGATGAGGTCCCAAACTCTTCAAACCTAAGCTGGTGATTCTCTCTGGAAAATGTTTGAGCCTTGACTGGCCTGTTAGAGGGAGCATTTTGCAGCATCCCATCTGACCTTGGGTCATTCAGTAGGAACATGCTGAGCCTGGCACTAATCTACGCTGCTGCACAGCTATCCTGGGTTAGCGATCGGCCATCCTTCATTCTGACGTGCAACAAGGTCATAGGTTGTATCCAGTGCTGCACCAGTAGGGTCCACAGATGCAACTGGACTTCTGTCTCCTCTTCTCCTCCTGCACACACCCCAAAATCTGCTCCAGCGTGTCTACCAACCCAACTGCACCACTCTTAACATTAAAAGATAAGTGGGAAGGAGATGGGACCCACCAACACCCCAACAAGAACTGAGCATGTTCAATGGCTGTAGAAGGCTGACTATCCCATGATTCGAAATGGAAAAGCAAGAGGGAAGAGAATGGGGTATCCTGAACGAGGGTGTTCCATTTTGCAACGTGCTGCAAGTCCCGCTTGTGTGTCATAGTATATGTGTTAATTCAGATCTTGGGTGACTCATAAGAGGGTGGAGTGAGTGCTAAAACCATTCATGTAAAATTACTTTGATGGGATTCTTTTTGGGAAGCAGATGAATAACATTTTCCATGGTTCTCCGTGTGTGTGTGTGTGTGTGTGTGTGTAAGCTCTGAGTTGGTTTACAAACAGGAAAAAGGAGTGGTAGCAACAAAGTAATCGCTTAGGTCACACTGTATTTTAGAGCAGACTGGCTGGGAAGTTAATTATAGTAATCTTAGCTGCTTCATCACAGGACAAGTTCATCAAATGTTATCGCTTTCCATTTTAAATTTTTTTTCTTGCCAAGAGGAGGTTCCTCCCAGGGCAGGTTTTCATGGTTCCCAAAGTATCCTTCATTCTGGTACCTTTCTTAAAAAATTAAAATTAAAATTCAGTAGTATTTCAACCTCCCTTGAGAGTATTTTTTAAAATGCGATGTGGTGTTGATTTTTTAAAAATTAAGTACTGCTTGTACTTGACCAGTGATATCCCACTACTGTATTTCTAGCTGGGAAACCACACTACTGCTATTGCTGCAGTGTGTCTTTGCAAGAAATACTCCTCTTAAATGAGAGAGTGAGCACACACCTCTACCCTAGTGTTGCCCTGTGTTTTGCCAGCTACAAAATGGGACCTGGTGACCTTCCATGGTCTAGGCCTATGGCTAGGATAGACACCCTGGTAGACAAGTGGAAGGCCATAGCTGGTAAAGCACCTGCTTTGCATGCCAAAAGTTCATTTCCTTACATCTCCAGAAACACACTTGCCTGAAACTGTTGAGAGCTGCTGCCAGTCAGTGTTGACAGTGCTGAGCCAGATGAACGAGTGGCCTGACCAGTTATATATGGCTGCTTCCTATGTTCTATAGCAGGGGTCGGCAACCTAAGGCCCGGGGGCCAGATGCGGTCCAATCGCCTTCTCAATCCAGCCTGCAGACGGTCCGGGAATCAGCATGTTTTTACATGAATAGAATGTGTCCTTTTATTTAAAATGCATCTCTGGGTTATTTGTGGGGCATAGGAATTCATTCACACACACACCCAAAATATAGTCTGGCCCACAACATGGCCTGAGGGATGGTGGACCGGCCCACAGCTGAAAAAGGTTGCTGACCCCTGTTCTATAGAGCATGCAAAAGGATTGTGGAAAAGCCATAGTGAATGGAGCATTTAATGAGGTTCTCCAAAATAATATATTGACATTGCCTTTTGGGACTGTTGGTTGTTTGAGTAGCAAGATTGACACAAGTCTGCTTTTGCCATGACACAAATCCAGTATCACTTGAATAATGTGATGGTGAAGCATTAAGCACGTGCAAATACTTCAACTTTGCAGTATGCAAAACAGTTACTCCCTTTAGCAGTGTGACACACCTTATTTAAACAGTTAACTGCTTGTGCCACAAGAAACTCTGGATCCTGGGGATTTGTTAGCGGATAGGTCTGCTTTATAGAAGCGGTTGGGCTAGATGATTGCATGCAGCCTTCCTGCTTCATGATATTTATACATTTATAACCCAAGTAGTGAAGTTCCAGCAACTGCCAATGCATCTTGTCTCGGAAAGATCCTTAAATTAAGCATCATTTATGGTTTCTTGCTAGATCACATGGGAAGCCACTGACATTTTAATGTATGAATCATTCATATTTCAAGAAAGGGTGTCAAATGGATAATATGTGACTGACCACAATTTACCCCCTTTCACAAATAGCAGTCCTTGGAATGATTGTACTTAAACACAAAATGATTGTATACCTTAAAAACAGCCCAAAGGCATTTATTAAAAGAGGAGGCAATTTCATTATGAAGCACGCTGTTGTTGTTGTTATTTCGATTTAGATCCCATCGTTCCTCCTGAAGGAGCCCAGGGTGACAAATATATAAGTAATGAAACTAAGAGTGGGGAAAGGGTGAAAGGGGGCATTGAGGTATCTTGTCCAAGGGACCCCCCAAAAAAACCTTGATCTATTACTGTGATAAGGTATCATTCCAGAAGAATGAATGTGGCAAATGTAGTTCTATAAGGGATAGTTCAAAACTTCTGTGCCTAAGTAGAGTGGAGTTAGGTTCTTCGGTCTTAAGTCCCAAGCCTAAGCTGCCCCTCAGACATTTAAGGGCTTTGTGGCTAAAGCTTTTCCCCTCTGGTGGTTTTCTTCACAATATAGTAAAGTACATTTGCTTTTGGGAGCGAAAACCTTAACTCTATTTTCTTCTTCTGATTTTAACAGGAGCTGTTTAGAGCTGGTGAGCTGAAATGGGGAACCGATGAAGAAAAGTTCATCACCATCCTGGGGACTCGCAGTGTGACTCACTTAAGGAAGGGTGAGGAAAACTAACATTTTGGGCTCTCTTTTTAAAGGACTGCAATCATCATACTCGGCCAATAAAGCGAGATGAGCGCCGCAACCCCAGAGTCATCCACGACTGGACCTAATGGTCAGGGGTCCCTTTACTTAATCATCATACTCGACGTGCAAGTGGTGGTGGGGGAAGCTTCAACAAAAACCAGGTCTTGGTTTTCTTTGTGGGGTGCCCTGGTTCTGATCCAAGGTGAACTTGACCTGGTTTAGAACATTTCTCCTTGACATGCTAGCAGATTGTGGGGGTATAGATAATACACTCCTTACTTTCAATCTTAAGTAGAATGGTCCATGTTACTTTCCTGAACACTTGAATTCATTACTATCCTGGCTTCCTTCAACTCTTCTGCCCAAATGTTGATTGTGTTTGGATGGGTGTAGGCTTTGTTATGTTTGTTTGGAAAAGCAGAAAGGAAGCAATATGTAAAATACACATGATTGCTATGTATTCCTTTTGTGTCTTTCAGTCTTTGACAAATATATGACTATCTCTGGCTTCCAAATTGAAGAGACAATCGACCGTGAAACTTCTGGTCCACTAGAGAAGCTTCTGCTGGCAGTTGGTAATGAGCAGTCCTAGTTGTGATGCACTATTTATGAGAACTGCAAGCAAGCTGTTGGGGGGAAAGCAGCACAATATGCTGATCAAAGAAACAAAATGGCGTCTTGGTAATCTGATTCAGACGTGATTCTTGCTTGCTTTTTATTTTTTATTTAACACGGGGCTCTGAATTCTAGACTCCACAACAGCGCAAGGAGATAGCAGGGCAAATCTGCACATCTACTCAGTAGGGAATCCCATTGTGTTCAGAGGGCTTTACTCCCAGCTAGATGTACACAGAATTGCAGCATAGCTCACTGTTATGCCCTGTTATGGAAATACTGGAAGGTGCCTTTTCTGTGTGAAGCACCATGCCATTCAGATAAAGTTATTTTTCACTGTTTTCAAGCTGAACTGGATTGTTTTTCCCCTTTCAGTGAAAAGTGTCCGTAGTGTTCCTGCATATCTTGCTGAATCACTGTTTTATGCAATGAAAGTGAGTACTTATTTTACCTTTCTTTCTTTCTTTCTTTCTTTCTTTCTTTCTTTCTTTCTTTTTAAAGGACAAGTTTCCAATTGGAAACGAAATGAGAGTGGTAAAATGTTGACTTTTTACTGACTTTTTTTTTATGCTGAGCACTGGATGCTCTATAGAGAGCTCACCACATTTATATAGTGCAGTAATTCAGGATTCTATTTCATGCAATTGTGCTAAAATCTCCTAACTTCAATGGCAAGAAGGAGGACTATTAATCCTCAAGGTATTATATACATTCTTCAAGTATCTCTATTGTATATGTATTCTGTGTGACATTCTCAGATGCAGCTATTCGCTTAGTGGCCAAAGTTAAGCCCTTTAGTTTCACTAACTTCAGTGGGAAAAATTAAGCATGTGCACGATGCTCTCCAACTGAAAGGAATGGTACCTGAAAGTAGATTGCATTCTTAATGGGTTGTTTAAAATGGGTTCCCTTTTGATTTTACCAGGGGGCTGGCACTGATGACGATACCCTGATCAGGATCGTAGTTTCAAGGAGTGAAATTGATCTGCTGGACATCAGACAGGCGTTCAGAAGAAATTTTGCAAAATCTTTGTACCATGCAATTCAGGTAGGACTTGCTTTGTAAAACTAGTATATTTCTTTCTCTTTTTATATGGGAAATACTGACTGATGTGGCTCTTTTCTTTTTAAAATGGAATGCTGCGGGTTTGTATTTTAGCTGTACAACTGTTAAAATTTTGCAAATAGAAAAAAAGTCCACTTTCCAATACATGTGAAATCTGCCACCATGAGGCATGTAGGCAGCTAGCTTATGTGGGCTCCCATTCCTGGGCAACCTCCCAGTCCCGTGTCAGGAGGGAAAACTAAAGGCAGGCAAACTAGTTGGTCCAATGCCTTGCTGGATTTCTGGTGGCTGGATGGAAGTGAAGACAGAGTAGCGTTTCCCTTTTATTTCCAGGCTTTCTCCCTCCCATTTAAAGGATTCCCCCCTCCTATTGTTGCCAATGGAAGGGAAGATACACCAGTCCTGATGTTGGTGTATTTATGTCCCCATCCCCCATTTTGGGTGTGGGGAGAGTGTCAGGGGACCGTGAAACCTATGGCTCCTTCAGATTCATAGCTTTGCCGCAATGTATCTGCTGCATCCTCCCTTGCTTCTACTGATGTCAGTATGTCAGCATCTGTAATGCAAGGCAAAAATCAGTTAGGCAAAGGGTGGTGGAGGTTTCTGCAGCAGCAAGGAAGGGTCACATGGAGTCAAATCTTCCTCTTCACCCATGAACAGGGACATCTGTATGCCCGCTGGCATTCCCTCCTCGCAGCCATATGATTTGCACCCTTAATTGGCTTAAATACAAGTATTCTGGTTTAATTGATGTGTACATAGAGCCTTCCCCTTTGCCTGCATTTGCTAAAGGATATCAAAGTTGTTTAAATCCTCCTTGCAATGTTTAGGGTTATGATTTTTTGGTCTGCCATTGGAAGGCAAATAGATGTTCCCTCGTTTTGTATTTTTATATATATATATGTTGCACAAAATAAATAGCTTTCTGGAGAACTTTTGCTTACCATTCCTGAGTGGATAGTCATACAAATGGATTTCCTGCGGTAGAAAAGCTGTCATTTGTCAAGAATTTTTCCCTGAATCATTACTGACTCATTGCCATTTGATCCCTGTCTTTTGATTTGTAGAAAGATACATCTGGTGATTACAGAAACGGCCTTTTGCTGCTCTGCGGTGGTGAAGATGACTAACTGACGGCGATATGAAAGCCAGAATCTTAACTCCTGCCTTGTGCCTCCTTCCCGCTTTGTATGGCTAAGCTTTCCATTGGCATTTACAGCTGCAGCCTTTTTTTGTTTCTCATGGATATCCTTGCTATCAGACGCAATGTGCATATCATTAGTACGATGATATAGTAACACTTACTGTTGAAATCCATATCGGATCCCATTCATAGTATTGCCACTCCTTTCTAGGGAACTGCCTGTTTTTCATTGATAGTATTTTATGTTAGTTTTATACAATGTTAACATACAGGCTGCTCTTGAAAAGATTAAGCCGGCCAGTTGGAAGTCATGGGGCTGGGATCAGGCTATGCTAGTTGCACATTGAGATCAATGTGACAAGCTAGTCGTGACTTAAGTCCCATTTAACTCAATGGGGACTAAATGCAACTAACATAGTCTGGATTCAGCCTCTTTTGTGTAAAATAATTTAATGCAAAGTGCCTCTTGTGTAAATGTGTCCCCCTTGTTTTGAAAACCATGTTGGAAGCTAGGAATCTGGTGCCTTTTGTTATTACTTTGCAAAAAAAAAAAAAAAATGGAACTAAAAGACATTCCAATAACTAAAACCAAATTACTTTTTAACCTGAACTATATTTTTGCATTTGTACTAATTTGCAGAAAGCTTCCAGTAATGGCTTTGAAATTGTGAGCTATGCATGATCTTCATGTATTGTAATGATTTGGTGCTATTAAAAGGAAAAAGCCTACTAAATGATAATATGGAGGACCAATAAAATGTACCCACAAACTATGAGCTTTCTGAATACTTGTGGTTTTATTAAGCATTTTTTCCCCAGAATATCTCCTCATTTTTGTAGAATTTGTTCCACTTCTCCTATTCTATGTGTAGGAGAGAAGAGCTATGTGGATCGCTGAAATTATTATTATTTGTTTCATTTCTATACTGCTTCATATTTTAAAGAAAATTCTCAAAGTGGTTTACAGCATATTAAAACATCAATAAAACACCAATAAAACAATGTGAAGGAAGTCAAATATACAGTCAAAGCAACATAATTAACAGAAAACTAAAATATTATCTTAAAAGATTTCAAAATAAAACATTGCAAAGGAGGTCAACTGCAGAATACAACTTTGTGTTAAAGTTAACAAAAAAATAATCAAACATATTTTTTTTTTAAGGTTCCACCTCCAACCACTAGAAATCTTCATCACCAACCCTTCTGATGCCTATAATTTCACCAGACAGTACCTTCAGACTTTTTAGCTTATCTTCACACCTCTCATGGTTCCTTTTTTTTTTTAAAAAAAAATGAAAGCAGAGATTTTTCAGGATACTTAATTCTCTGCCCTATACCACGTCCTTTTCTTTTGGTCCTTCAGTGGAATTGCAGTCTACATACAATGGCATACATAGGTTATTTCCCCTTCTCCAACCCCAGTTACGGCAATTAGGCAAGTTGTGGATTCAGTAATGGCTGGCATTTGGACTGCTTCCATCATGACAGAAACATGCTTCTGAGAGGCCAAAGTGCTTCTAAAAAGCATAAAATCTTAAGTTTTTAAAGAACAGCTTGCACATTGAGATGACTCATGGGAAGACTCTCTCATGACCCAGGCCCACAGCCAGAATCTTGTGGGGCCTAAGGAGAAAGGGAGGTCACTGCAGAACAGTCGGAGCATAAAACACACTCTCAGAACAAGAGGTTCTGTACCTTGGCACTCAGTGCAATTGGCAATCCAAAACCTTTTCCAGAGGTGCGGTGGATGGTGTCACAATCCAGGGGTTACTGAACTCTTATCATCCCTTCTGCCTTCCACTGCTATACTGCATCACTCAGTCCCCCCCCCCCCCCGGTTCTCATTAGCTTTTGTGTGTGTGTGTGTGTGTGTGTGTGTGAGAGAGAGAGAGAGAGAGAGAGAGAGAGAGAGAGAAGACAGGCAGACAGAGACTGACGACCCATTTGGAAAAGGGCCTCACACATTACTATTTATTAAATCTGTATATCACCCTATACCCATAGATCTCAGGGCAGTTCACAACATAAAATTACAATAAAACAACAACAAAGATCTTAAACTGTGGTTATTCATTTGGCAGCTATTGCCTTTCTTCTTTTTTAAAGGTAAAGTTAATGGGTTCAATGGCCCTTGTCATGCTGAGCACACAAGGTATCAGAAGGATGGAGATGAGTTAAAAAAAAGGTAAAGGTAAAGGACCCCTGGATGGTTACTTCCAGTCAAAGGTGACTATGGGGTTGCGGCGCTCATCTCACTTTCAGGCCGAGGGAGCCGGCATTTGTCCACAGGCAGCTTTCCAGGTCATGTGGCCAGCATGACTAAACCGCTTCTGGCTCAACAGGACTCTGTGACGGAAACCAAAGTGCATGGAAATGCCATTTACCTTCCCACCACAGCGGTACCTATTTATCTACTTGCACTTGGACGTGCTTTCGAACTGCTAGGTAAGCAGGAGCTGGGACAGAGCAACGGGAGCTCACCCTGTCGCGGGGATTCGAACCACCAACCTTCCGATTGGCAAGCTGAAGAGCCTCAGTGGTTTAGACCACAGTGCCACCCGTGTCCCCCTGGAGATGAGTAGTCTCTGACAGGCACCAGCCCATTCCACATAATCTGCTGGTATGGATTTGGTGCAGAGTCAGGTCTGTGTGCTCGCCTGACTTTGAGTTGCTATTATTCAGGGCTGCTTTCTTGCCCTTTTCTTAAATCATTCTAGTACATCAGTGTACTGTATACAGTGCAGTGTAAACAATGAATTTCAGACATGGAGTAAATGTGCTTTTATAGGTACAGTGGTACCTCGGGCTAAGAACTTAATTTGTTCTGGAGGTCCGTTCTTAACCTCAAACTCTTCTTAACCTGAAGTACCACTTTAGCTAATGGGGCCTTCTGCTGCCGCTGCGCAATTTCTGTTCTCATCCTGAAGCAAAGTTCTTAACCTAAGGTACTATTTCTGGGTTAGCGGAGTCTGTAACCTGAAGCGTCTATAACCTGAAGAGTCTGTAACCCCGAGGTACCATTGTATTACTGCAATAATAATAATAATAAATTTTATTTATATCCCGCCCTCCCCAGCCGAAGCCGGGCTCAGGGCGGCTAACAACAATAAAACAGTACAAAGGTATAGCACAAACAACACTCTAAAATCATTCATTATAAAATTAATTAATTCAAGCCACTGGCAACCATTGGGCCAGAGCTCTGCGAAGATTGCCGAGGGAGGGAGTCAGGCTTTGCCCTGGCCAAAGGCCTGGTGGAACAGCTGTCTTGCAGGCCCTGCGGAAAGATGTCAAGTCCCGCAGGGCCCTGGTCTCTTGTGACAGAGTTAAAAAGAATTTGTTGTAGTTTTTAAAAATAGCCTTGAATATCTTTCGGTTTTACAAAGAGTTGGGGATGTCTTTTACAAATCAGTTTCAATTTTAGAAAAAAGTGCATTCTTCCCCAGTTTGTATATATCAGAATGGCCAATGACCCGATTCTTGTGCTGTTATGTATTAAGGCTATCAACATGCTTCAACTCAATCTTTTTCTTTATAGAAGTTGTTTATTCACCATTTCTTACACACTGGTTTACGGAAACTCTTTAAGAAGGAAGGTAATGGCATTGAATCAGTGGTAGCTGTTACACAATATAGTAGTAGGCAGAAAGAAAGAAAGTGTTGGGGAATAGAACCAGAGGGAGTAACTTGCAGACAACGAAGGAAGCTTTTTAAACATTGTGGCTATTGGCAAGAATCAGTTTCTACTTAATATTTGGTAATGAAAATTGCAAATGCTAATACAGCATTATCTAGTATTCCCATCTCATACATACATACATACGTCATTTTATTTGTAAGCTGCCTTTCCATTGTTAAAACCATCCTCAAGACAGCTTACGACTTGGAAAAAAATCACAGTTACAAATAAAACAAAAGTAGTGATAAACAATAAATAAAACACATCAAAAGTACAGAAACAATTCGAACAATTTCCATGCAAGTTCTAAAAATAAAGATACAAAAAAGCAATATCAATAACAGCTAAAAAAACCCCAGCAACTCCTGCTAAACAATACCTCAACCAAAAAAAGGCAGCGCAAAATAGGATTCTCTCATATTGAAACAATAATAATTTTGAAACTCCTTTTTACATCCTTACAAACATAGCATAAAAAGAGCTAAAAATAACCTTAAATTTTCATATTCTTACCTCCTTTTTTATTTCCTCTTTCCTTCTGACAAATTGTTCCGACAAACCTCTTATCCATTTGCATCTACTTTTCAAGATTTCTTGGTTGCATATTTTGTGAAAAAACTGCTCTGCACCCAGATGAGCAAATCAAATCTAGAATCTTGGTGTGGACAAAAAGGAAAAGGAAAAAAAGAGGGAGGACCAAAAGCAGTTCTTCCTCATTTGTGCCTTGCATCAAAAATATCTTAAGATTCTGGTGTTGGCAGTAGCGAAGAAGAAGAAGAAGAAGAAGAAGAAGAAGAAGAAGAAGAAGAAGAAGAAGAAGAAGAAGAAGAAGAAGAAGAAAGGCCTTTCCTAACAAACTAGTCTTGGAGACAGATCTTCCTTACTTTGCAAATGGTCCAAACAGTACAGGCTGACTTTAGATGTGGTTTACTTATGGTTCTACTGCCATCTAGCTTCTGCCAGCTTTATTACTGTTCTGATTAACATGACTATTATTTGCAGAACTCATTATCTGTGTTACTTAAAAAACAACAACAAAAACCAAGCATCAGGATTCTGTGCATGAACATGAATAAACAATATGATCCATAGTAATCTGCATAATTAGTGAACTCTGTTCTGAATATATGCTATATTTTATTTATTATTACATTTATATCCCACTTTTCCTTCCCAAGGAGCTCAAAGTAGGTTTTGTGGTTCTCCTATTTTAGGTTAGGCTAAGAAGCACTGATTGGCCCAAGATAATCCAGTGCGCTTCATGGCAGAGTGGGGATTTCAATCTTGGATTCCCAGTTTCAACACTTGAACTGTAACACTACTCAGGTACTCTGTGCAACTGTTTGCTCCCAAATTCTACTGACATGTATCAATAAAACTTTGCCTAGCAATTTGTGCACCACAATTCCATTATAGCTGAAAAATAGTGTTGTTTTGTTTTAAAGCATTCAGCTATTGCTGAAAACTTTCATTAGTGATGTTGACTAAGAGATGGATATATACAAGTACCTGTAGTGAAAACAGCGCTACAGTTTTGTCATGCTTGGAATAATTTTTCCGTCTGTTCAACTCAAAAGCAGTACATCTCCTAATGGCATGAATTGCCTTTCCTGAACTGTACAGAAGGATCACACAGCACACAATGAGCACATCACCTAAAAGGAAGTGGCTTGTATTTATTAAGGTATTACTTTAGTAAGGGAAGAGGAAAGGAATGGAAGCTAGCTAATTGTGCTAATCTCTGCTAATGAATTCTAGTGTTTGCACAGCTGATTCATAAATTAGTTCCCAGTGTCAATAAGAATTGCTTCTGTTCCTACACCTGGTGCTCAAAAGCCTGCTCACTCAGGCTCTCAACTTGTGATTTATATTTTTTGCAAAAGATGAACTTCAGTAGTTGCAAACCCACTCCTTCCTGAAGACTTCTCCTCAAATCGGCTCTCCAGTGCATCCATGAAGGAATATCCATGAAGGAATAGGAATAGGCAGTGCTTTTTTTCTGGGGGTATGCAGGGGTACGCATACCCCTAAACATTTTGTGAATCTAATGCGAGAATAAACTATATATTTTAAAAAATTAAGTTTCTTCTCTAGGTGAATCATCAGTTCTGTTCCTACCCCCAATGGTGGCTTCGTTTCCTGTCACGGTGTTTCCTGAGTCTCAGAAGGAATGAGAGTACCCCTAAGAAAAAAAGCACTGGGAATAGGGTACAGAGTCAGGATCAATATCTGCTTTCTGAAGGTGCTGAATGTTCCTGTCTAAACCTCAAAAGACCCAGGAATGGGCATCCCTACACACATGATGCAATTAGAGTGGAAATTGCATTGGTTGAGTCACCTCCAGAGGCTCATCACAATATGGATGAGTTTCTGCATTTGGTCTACAAAAGGGAATCTACAGGCAGATCTTGCTGAGTCAGGGAGACAGTAGCCTTGTTCACATGTTCTCAGAATTACATGCAGGAGTGTGGGGAATACTGCACTAGCTCCACCCCTGTCCTCTGTCATGTCACTGTCGTTGTTTCCATCCGTATTGCTCTCAACACCTTGGAGTCAGGAAGTCTGCTGTGCTTGCTTAGGTTTCTGGCACAATTCCTCTACAAACGTTGGCCATCCAACACAATGGAAATGGGCCCAGTGATGCAACAATGGAGGCAGAGCTAGCTAGCATGTGTATTGCTACTATCCTTCATGTGATTCTAATCTTATGAGGGAAACTGATGCCTGAATCAAGTACAAATAAATAAAGTAAAAAGCATAGATGTAAATCCTATGCCTATTTAGCTCCAATGAACTTGGTAAATATAGTGAAATTATAGAATCATAGAGCTGGATGGGAGCATGGAAGTTATCTAGTTAACCCATAGAACAATGCAGGATCTGCAATGCCAGATGCAACAAAGAATCACATTGTTGGGGGCCGGATCCTGGCTTGTACCACTGCATCTGCCTCTGCTGTTGTTTTCCAAGGTGAGCTCCAAGGATAAGACTGGGTGTTTGTCCACACTTTGTGCATATTGCCTGATATGCACACCATTGCATTGCCGCAAAACGCAACATTTTGCTGCTTTGGCTGGCAGATGTTTCGGTACAAACGTTTAGAACTGAATTGCAAGTTCACCCATTCATGAAATCTAAAAGGCTCTCAGAGTTGTAAATGGTGTGCTCTTATGCCCTAAGTGTAGACTATTTTAAAAAGACTGTAATTTTATCCTCTCAAAATCAGCTCTCATTTGAATGTTCAAAATCCCTGGCTGATGAGAGCTATTCTCTACCAAATTTCAACATTCTTCAGCAGTTTCAGTCCCTGGGCTGACTTCTGTCTTGTTTACAAGACTGTTATATACCGAGGTAGTGTTTGTCATGGAAGCCCTTTGTTTTCAAAATAACACAATTCATTTTCACTGATTCCGAAAATGAAGACAAAGCCAGAATGTTTTCAACTGGATAAATGAAAGTCAAGTTAAGGTTGGATCAATTCTGAAAAGTTTCACATATCCAAGAATCCTTGCTTTGCAGCAAGATTATAACAGCTGACCTAGAAAGCTGGTGTGTGTGTGTTTGTGTGTGTCTGTGTAATTTATAAATTTATTTGACTTGTGGGTGTCATATAAAACACACACGACTGTGTGTTTGAGCATATTTTTTCCAAAGCCTGGAGGAAAGGGAACAAAGTCTTGCATTGCTTCAAGGAGGCACAGGAAGGTTGAGTGATTTGGCACCCTGCCATAGTTAATTACCACCAAGATATTTTTAGGCCCGACAGTGTTCCTCTCTTCTGAGTGGCGAATAACATAGAATCATAGAATCTTAGTGTTGGAAGTGACCCCAAGGCTCATCTTATCCAACCCCCAGCCAAGAAGGAATCTCAACTAAAACATCATTGACAGATGGCCATCCAACCTTTGCTTAGAAAGCTCCAAGAAAGGAGAGTCCACCATCTGCCAGAGTCCATTCCACGGTCAAACTGCTCTCCCCCCCCCTCAAATTTTTTATTCATTTTATAACAGAAATAAACAACAAAAACAGAAAAAAACAAACAATACAAACAAATTCTTGCCTTGTCCTTATTTTTTCTAAACATTGTTAGGTGAGCTTCCCCAAGTCCCCCCTATCTGATTTTCATTTTCTCTCATTTTTAGCAGTTTACATATATCATAATTTTTAACCATTTTTTAAAATCACACTTACTTTTACCATAAAAATCTTCATATTTTCACTTACAATACTATTTTAAAATACACTGTCTTCTACTTCTAACCCTACAGCCTATATCCACTTCCAAAGCTCTTCTAAGATTTAAATATTAACATATTTTTTCAAATATTCTTTAAATTTCTTCCAATCTTCTTCCACCGTCTCTTCTCTCTGGTCTCAGAGTCTCCCAGTCAGTTTGGCAAGTTCCATATAGTCCATCATCTTCATCTGCCATTCTTTGATAGTTGGTAAATCTTGTTTCTTCCAATTCTTCGCTAATAAGATTCTCACAGCTGTTGTGGCATACAGAAAAAAGTAACATCCTTTTTGGGGATTTTACCCCCCACTATACCAAGTAAAACGGCTTCTGGTTTCTTAATAAATGTATTTTTCAACACTTTTTTCAGTTCATTATAAATCATTTCCCAGAAGTCTTTTACCACATGTGGTAAAAGGTTCCTTCTTTTTCCTTACATTTCCTTACATTTCCAGCATTTATACTGTATACTGTCAGAATGTTCTTTTCCTTTTTAATTTTTTTATTGTATTTTCTTCTTCTTATTTATTATTTTAAACAAAGTGATAATAATAATAATGTGCACCCCACCCCCGAGACCATTCCATTATGCAGCCTCCCAAAATTTCAACACCTCTTGCGATGGTTTGACCCCTTTCCTTTTTAACAGTACAAATTCTACAAACACCTTCCATATCTCCTCAGGATCATTTCTCCTGCATATTCCCCTTCTTACCTTAATGACACATGTTAATTTATCATTCATAGTTATATCCCACACCTCTTTATACCATTCTTCCATTTTATATTCACCTTGCCCCTTCCACTTCCTAGCTATAATAACTTGTGCAGCTGTCAATAAATTTGTGAGCAAGTCCTTCATAGCCTGTGACCCTTCCAGTCCATCATATATTGATAACAATGCTACCTCTGGACTTTCAGTCAACTTTAACCCTGTGATTTCTGTTATCTCCTTAAACACCCTTTGCCAAAAAGTTTGTATGCATTTACACCCCAACCACATGTGAAAATAAGTACCGGTTTCCTGGCATCCCCTCCAACATAACTCCAAATATTCCTTGTTTATTTGATTTAATCTTACTGGTGTTAAGTGCCATCTCCATACTAAAAGGTAAAGGTACCCCTGCCCGTATGGGCCAGTCTTGACAGACTCTAGGGTTGTGCGCTCATCTCACTCTATAGGCCGGGAGCCAGCGCTGTCCGCAGACACTTCTGGGTCACGTGGCCAGCGTGACAAGCTGCATCTGGCGAGCCAGCGCAGCACACGGAACTCCATACTAACTTGTAGTAATTTTCTTTTATCCTTATAGACAACATTCTCAGAGTGTGTTTCTCCCATATCCCCACCCCCACCCCAGCTTTGGCTATTTATCTTCCCTGTTGTCTCCTTTTCCCACTCCTCTTTTAATTGATCTTGTTGATTCTCCATTTCTAGAATGTTCTAGAAATCTAGTTTCTTGTAACTTGAAGCCATTGGTCCAAGTACTACATTCCAGAGCAGGAGAAAACAAGCTTGCTCCATCTTCCATGTGACAGCTCTTTTAAATATTTGAAGATGGCTGTCCCATCTCTTCTCAGTCTCCTCTTTTCCAGGCTAAACATAACCAATCGCTCTTCATAAAACTTGGTTTCCAGACCCTTGATCTTCTTGGCTGCCCTCTTCTGCTGGGTCTTAGTAATCACAGCATCCTTTCCTAAGAGCTCACAGACTGTTTAATTATCTGTCCTATTACCTTTCCAGTCAGTAGTTACTAGGGTCTTCCCCCACCCACTTTTTGAAAACAGCGGCAACATTTGCCCTCCACCAGTTTGCAGGGACCTCACATATGGTAATCTAATATCCAGCATAGTCTCCAGGCATGGCCAAACTTGACACTCCAGCTGTTTTGGGAGTACAATTCCCATCATTTCTGACCACTGGTCCTCTTAGCTAGGGGTGATGGGAGTTGTAGTCCCAAAACAGCTGGAGGGCGAAGTCTGGTCTAGTCAGTTGCCTGTAATCATATTAAGTTTGGTGGTGTGTCAGCAGTGACACTGCAACTCATGTGATGGTGAAAGGCATTGGTCAAAATCCATCGCTTATGAGGGGGTGCCTACCAGGGATCATAGAGTTGGCATATCACACAGGCATGTTCAATCATCAGCCACTCTCCATTCAGGCACAAACAAGCCCCAGCTTCAGTCCACAAATATCCATACAGCTTCCATCAATGGGCTTCCAGAAGGGAATTTCAACCAGCTTACATTCATAAATACCAGCCTGCTCCAGCCTTGCGGCATTTGCCAGCATCCAAATGTAAACTCCTCCTGCTTCCACCCACCAACATCTGCCAGCTTCCATCAGGTCCACCACCAGACACCAGCCAGTTGCTCACCATGGATATCAGCCACGTTCAAACTGCAATTCCACTCAGCTTGCAAACCTGCCTTCTCATCATTCACCTCCTTCTGTCTCCTAATTCTCCTCTGTGTGGAAAGAGGCCACCCAGTGATGAATGCCACAGCTGTTGTCCTCTTTGGGAAGGATAAAGACTTTTGCCTTGGCTTTCCCCATGGCCCACCTTTATAGATCCACTTGTCTGCCATGTGCCATTTGTGACATCACAGGCAGTCCACAGTCAATGGCAGCAGCTGGGGAGGTGCAGCAAAACCTGCTTAGCTCCTGCAATAGTGAAGGCAGCTTTCTTTGTCTCGTTCCCTGTTTGTTATTGAAAAGATGTAGAGCCCACTCCTTATCTGTACTGATACCAGGGAAGGGAGCACCATAAGCCTAGGGGCGGTCATTTTTCAGCCTAATGGCTGCACGCCTTCATGTCCAGTGTTCCAGGAGCCACATGCAAGTGGCAGGAGGGGGGACAGAGGCAGAAAGGGCATGGAGTGACAAATGTAACTCTTATCTTTGTACAGGAGACGCCATTCCAGAGGCTTAAGCACCCCGTATCTCTCAGGCCAGTTAAGCAAGAAACATAATCACAGTTGAAACATAGAATAAACATAGAATAGGCTTCACTTCATATGTTAGAAAAAAATTTCTGTGTAGAAAGTTTATGCATTAAAGTGATTCACATTAGCAGATAATTCTCCTGCTTTGCTATGTCCACAAGATGGTGATGGTGAGTTATTTATCAGGCTGTAAGGTAACAGTTGTTTCAGTTTTTCTCAAGGTATGCCGTGAACTGCTTCAATTACTGCTTATTCATTAAAGTATTTTATTTTCCCCTTCCTAATAGTAAAGTACATAATCCCCTGTCATTGGTCTGAAAGTTGAACTAACCCAAACTCCCTCCCGCTGCCCAGAAGCCAAAATTTTCCTAGAACCCCAGGTGGGATTCTATTACTCAATCTTTTGCTTTTTCAATTCTTCTTTTATCAGGAACCCTCCTTTAATGTTTCCCCTAAGCCAACTGTTTCCTTTTCCTTCTGTGACATGGAGGGGGGAGGAGTTTGTGGTTTGGAGAGAAATGAAGCACTTATGGGACAGGGTGGAAGGGGGAGCAGCCATCTTGCTTTGAACTTGGATCAGTTCCTCTTTTTCTGCAAAGGAGAAATTCAAAAGTTTGAAGAAAAGCAGAGCACAGATACACAATTGGATTTTACTAAGTGCTCAGCAACGCTGGAGTTTAATATGGATTTGTAGCTGCTTGTGACTCATGACCTCTTTCCCAGCATCAACATAAAGTCTTCCTCATCCAACCAGCAGCCTGCACTCCCCCAGCCTCCATAAAATTCAAATTTTCCTGATTCATAGATAATTCAATAAGGGAAGAAAATCCAATATAAAATTGCTTGTTACCTGACTGCAGATGTACTGAAGCACATGGTGTCAGTGGTTTGTTTGTTTTTTACAAGTATGTTGGCATTTACTGGGTACCATTTATTACCACACCTCCTATTTCCATCGTGTTTCCATCAGCCCACGTGAAAGAATGCAGCCTGCTCTATTGTTGTTGAAGGCACATTATCAGTAATTTTATTTTTCAAACAGCTTCTTTTTTGCAGAAATGCTCTTCGGCAAGATAGCTGCATTCAAAATAAATGGAAAATCAACTTTTAAATAGGGGGAAAGTGTGGGCTGCCAGTGCAGGACAGTGAACGTGGTGGTGGTGTGGGGGAAGCACACACAGGATGTATCAAGTTCACATCTACACATCTTTATTCATAGTCAGACACCAGGAAGTATATGACAGAACAATGAATGAATGTTCAGAAGCAGTGGTGGAGGGAAGTTTCTGTCAAATTTTTTTTTAAAGAACTTCGTAGCTGACATGAATGAAATGTCAATAAGGCAATTTTTGAGTGACGTTTCTGTGAAACACTTCAGATACAAGAAGATGATTCTTCTGCCTACCAAAATTTAAATCCTAGCAATAATTACACTTTTCTGAATCTTTCTCAAACTGTGTTTCTACTTCATCTGTTGGGTGTGTTCAGTAGTAAGACAACAGTGATCAAAACTTTGTCCTGCCCAAGCGATTGAAGGCCAAAGAAAATCCCACCCCCATTTTAGGCTTCAATACAATGCACACTTACTAGGGAGTAAGTTCCATTGAAAATAGTGTGGCTTAATTTCTGAGCAATCATGCATAGAGTCACAGTAATTGTAGGATCCGTGGCTGAGAGTAATGCTACTTCTGCCTCGTGAGAACCTCAGAGATAGGATTCCATATGATTCTTTCCTATGGATTATGTAGATTTTCAGAGCCAGGTTTTGCCAAAGAAGTAAGGTTTGAAGTGAGCCTTCTGTGTACCAGAAAACAAGTCAAGGTGGGTTGGGAGTAAGTAATATAACAAAATATTGCAGTGCCTCAAAAGTATCATTGATCTCTAAATGGTTGGAACATTGAAATATAACTTGGAAATCTTTTTTTTATTTAAGATTTGCACTTACTAATCATGATTTTTATATGCAAGTCCCATTCTGTAAGATTAAAGTTTGAGAGATAGGCCATTGAATTGATCCAGCAAACTATTCTTATGTTCTTATCCCATCCCCATGATGGATGTGCTTGATCTTTTTTCTACTGAGGTAATCTTTAATATATTTTTGTGACAGCTGTACTTTTTCATATTTTAATAGAGTTTCTCAAAAGGATTCATAAGATGTGGTACATTTTGTCTTGCATTATTCCACTATTTATTTGAGTTGAAATAATTAAAATAATGATAAACACGCTTGATTTATTGCTTTTCGGGCCTGTTCATTGGAGATGATATGTCTTTGTTTGTACCAGTTGCTAAGATGAAGTAGCTTTCCCCAGATTGTCATGTTTGAATGGTTCTATAATTGCCTTTCAAACATCTTCAATTAATGAAGATTGTGGTGGATTAAATCTATATGAGCGTTTTCTCCATACGTTCATTATAGTTTTTGTGGAATTAGGTATATGTCAGGGACTGGACTGAACAGGAGGGCTGGGAAGTCTCCCCTCAGTCTGCTTGGCTCCTCTCAGAAGAGGAGGGGCAGTGGGAAGTTTTGCCCCCCCCCCATCTCCAGCAGTTTCAAGAGGAGAAGACAGGGCTGAATTACAGCTGAAGGAAGAAATGCCTAGTTACGAGATAGTGGAGGAGGAGGAGGAGGAGGAGGAGGGGAGAGTCAGAGAGCAGCCAGCAGAGACCTCCCTGGAGAGTCTGGGAGATCCTCTTTCTCCAAGGTCACACCGATCCCTCCGCATTCAAGAACAGAGAATGCAGAGAAGTGTGACTCCTGGGACTTTCCGTAGGTACTCAGGATGTTGTTGGGGATGGAAGAGGAGGGACTCAGAGTAGGCAACATCTCCTTTTTGTGGAGATATGGATTCTTTGTCTTGCAACCAGATGACTGAATAAAAACCATAAATACGAACTTACTTGTTCTTCTTGCCTTTGATGCTACTGGGGGAGGAGAGGATTCTCCATGCCTGACAGTATGTTAGAGTCTTTTATGGTCTTCTTTGAATCAAACCAAGGTAATCTCCATAACTGATAATTATGTAACACCAGTTCTGCTTGTAGTAATATATCATTGTTGTTGTTGCTGTTTAGTCATTTAGTTGTGTCCGACTCTTCGTGACCCCATGGACCAGAGCACGCCAGGCACTCCTGTTTTCCACTGCCTCCCACAGTTTGGTCAAACTCATATTAGTAGCTTCGAGTACACTGTCCAACCATCTCGTCCTCTGTCAGCTTTGAAGACTGTAATGCATTTTAAAAAACTTGGATGTGTCAATGACAATGTCTTCTCTCAGCATGACAGTAATATGTGTTGATTTCTTAAGTGCAGCAGACTTGCCATGTTCTAGTTTTAAAAGATTGTTTACAAGGTTATTTAGTATTAGCGGAGTCTGACAACAAGAAGTTGCAGTTCATCATATATGGATGGGTGTGTGTGTGTGTGTGTGTGTGTGTATACATGTATACACATATGCTTGCATGTGTCAACTTTTTCAAGTTAGGGAGGCACTTAGGATTCCATGCTCAAGTACATGGAGCCCATTCTGCTCATTTGCCTCCTCAAGACACAAGATTTCAGGAGAGGTTTATAGCTCAGTGTTAGATCATCTGTGCTACATACATGCAGAAGGTCCCAGGTTCAATCCCAGGTGTCTCCGATAGGGCTGTGGAAGTCTGACTCAGTATAAGGCAGCTTCTCATTGTCCCATAACTTGGTGATTCTCTATACTGTTGGAAAATAAAGTAGCCATCTTCTCAGAGCTAAGTCTCTTTGAGTTCAATGTACTCCTAAGTTGTAAGTCTGTAAACAGTTGCAGCCTAAGAGAGGCAATTCATAGTATCACAGAACTTATTTTAGCCAGTCCTAGTCAGCAGGACTAGGTGAAGGCTTGGCTATCTCTTACTTACAATTAAACCTTTAAAAGATAAAGGCAGCAGTCCTGTTCTGTGATGGCATGTTGAATTTTTAGTGCTGCTATTTGCTTGCTACCAGCTTTTGTTTTTTTAAAAAATAATTTTTATTGATTTTCCAATAAAAACAGCCAGTCAAGATATCCGAATCATAATCCAAATAAAAATAATAAACTAAAATAAAAAAGGAACCAAATTATAGTCCAAATTGCAATTATTAATTTTTTCGGGCTCCCCACAGTCTGGACCTCTGAAGCGTATCTCCAAATCTTCCTTCCTGCCTCTTCTCATTGCTTTCATATTTTCCACCTTCTGATCTTAACACTTTAAAGTTCTCCATCCTTGGCTATGCGATTCTCAGTCATGTAAAAAATCATATATCCTTTCATCTATCGAATACAGCTTTATTTGTAAATATATATTTTTTCAACTGTCTGTTTAGCAGCGCAGCTTTTCTTGACTTCATTCCAATCTTCCAATCCGGGCTGTTGTCCAAGTTTATCCCTTGACGTTTAATGACGCAGCAACTCCCAAGTTGTTAAATCACTCCAATCCCGGCTGTTGTCCAAACCTTTCTTTTGAGATTTAATGACGCAGTACCTTCCACATTGTTGAGTTGTTACTATAAATTGTTGGGCAGATTGTTTGCAATATTGCAATGCAAATGAACTGTATTCCATAGATATACATCATTTGGCGATTGATCAGCCTCTTGGAGACCACAAAAGAGACCAGGCCCCAGAGGGAGGGCTGCCAGGCATCCATTCAGCCTTCTCTCTCGCTCATAAAGAAAAACTTCTGCAAACAGCTGCACTATATATTGCTACCAGCTTTTGGATACAGAGGGACTCAGGTGAAATTGTTAATGAAGAGCATGGTCTGTGGAGAAGGTTTCACCTCTGTTGCTGTGCTGTGGGCAGTGCTCTATTATCAAGTTACAAAATCAATTAACTTGGATTTCTCTTTCCTTTTCTTAAGCACATAATGTTTCACAACTAGCGGATGAAGATAACTGTACTGTTCTCAAGGGAGTGCCCAGTCCTTCAACACATTTCAGGTAGGTATGCCATGGGACTGAACTTATCTTTTTTATCTCAGCAGCTTTTGTATCTCAGTGTGTTGCGCTTTCACCCCTAGTAGACTTCCAGTAAAGATTACTCACTTTTTCAAGATGACACTCAGATCACAATTCAATAGTCTACATCCTTTAATTATTCTGTTGCAAGCCATAATGAAACCTGGCTAGAAAACCTCATTGGTAGCACAGCAGGTGATTTGAAATAAGTGAAATGGAATGAGGAAAGAAAATCCACCAGAAGATTATCAGGCCCCGAATGAGGGGAAAAACCACCTACTGGTTTTGCCACTCACGAAAGGATAATTAATGTGAAATGTGAGTTTGGGTTGCCATATCAACAAAGAGGTTTCTGGGTGGGTTTGGGTTGGGTTTTTTTAAAGACACTTGGGAAACCATTGTGCAAATAGAGCACAAATACAACAGGAATGTTATATATAGTAATTATAAAAACAAATGTATTAAAAGATGGGACTGCTTGCTCCACACCTGTATCTTGGCATTTGGGAATTACACTTATACCCACAAACAGAGCTTACTTCTCCTTCACCAACACTTTCTAGGAGCAGAAAATAGAGGCTGGCATTGTTTAGTCTTCCTAGATTCACACATCACTTCAGTCAAAATGGGGAGCTAGTACAACTTATTATCAGGTGTGGATAACTGTACAGTATTGTTGATCAAGCTTGGCTTTTAAAAGAAGCCAGACTTCACTGCCTTCAAATAAGTTTTTCCTGCCAATTGTTCAACAGCTGAGACAGCTAGAGGAACCTTGTGTATTATGCTCCTAAAACATGTTAGTTTGTTCAATTAAATATGGTACGTTATGGTCCCATGGAGGACAGCTGTAAGGTAGCTAATAGGCAATTAAATCAACTCATCTATTTGCAAATTGGTCTTACCAGGATTCATTAAAATGCAGAGACTGTTGTTTTCCTAAATGCATGCTACTTAAAGGAGATTAAATAACTTGCTTTTGGGTTTCCATGTTTAAAAGTCCCTTGCACGAGTAGCAGGCTGGCTCATTATGTGGTATTGCTACTTCCAAACACTTGCAGGCCCAGGCCATGCACTCCCCCCTCTTCCGCTCAAGTGAGCTACCAATAAAAGAGACCACACAGTTGAATGGGATCAAATCAAGCCACAACTTCCTTGATGAGGTGGTTTGGCATAGGCATTGGGTAAGCATTTCAATTTCTGGGCTTCCTACTGGAAATAACATCAGGGGTCAACCAGGCAGCGAGGATTCCTAAGACTTACATCAAATAGGGGGATCCCTGAGTCCCCCATCTGGGCAAATGGACAGAAGCAACTCCATCATGGATCCCTTTAATGGGTTACCCTATTTCTGGAGGGGAAGGTGAGAGTACAACACCCCCCTCCAATCAAGCCTACAGTTACCCAATGTCTAAACTGCCAAAGGTGTGACAAGGTAGGCAAAACCTCCAGGTCATAGTCAATTTGCCTGAAAGGCAAATTCTTACCTGGCCCCGCTAACATGGCGACCACCACCAGCCATAGCAAGGTCAACTCAATGAGTAAATGCAAAACTACCAGAGTGAGTGAGTGGGTGGGGCCTGGGACAGGCTGCTTTTAAATCCCCTGGGAGTGGACCTGAGGGAAGCCTGATTGTGCCCTCATGCCTGCCCCCATGAGCCCAGCCCTCTGCGCTAGCCTGCCATTGGCCAACTCAGTAGGCTGACCCGGAGCAGGATTTCAAGATGGGAGCAGAAGCCAAAGCTCGTGCTCTGGCTGATATCAGCTCCCCACACCCAGCCCTGCATTGCTGGTGGGGGAGGGGAGGCACTGGCTGTCCTGCAAAGTCGCCACACCCCTAAAAGGGGGTAAGCGGACTTTTAGTACAGTGGTCAAAGAATTCCTAATCACATTCCTATTTGCAATTATCTCATGGAAGTATGGGAAAGATTCTATGCCCTCGTTGAGCAACAGTTAATCTAGAGAGGAAAGTACAGTGGTACCTTGAGTTAAGAACTTAATTCGTTCGGAGGTCCGTTCTTAACCTGAAACTGTTCTTAACCTGAAGCACCACTTTAGCTAATGCGGCCTCCTGTCGCCGCCGCACAATTTCTGTTCTCATCCTGAAGCAAAGTTCTTAACCCGAGGTACTATTTCTGGATTAGCGGGGTCTGTAATCTGAAGCGTCTGTAACCTGAGGTATCACTGTACTGGGAAAAAACTGCAGAGTGCTTATGTCAAAAGAATCACTGCAGTATTATTTAAAACATTCAGACCACCACAACAATCTGCAGTGGTACCTCTACTTATGAACTTAATTCGTTCTGGAGGTCCGTTCTTAACCTGAAACTGTTCTTAACTAGAGGCGTGCTTTCGCTAATGGGGCCTCTTGCTGCTGCTGCGCCGCCAGCGCACGATTTCCGTTCTTATCCTGGGGCAAAGTTCTTAACTTGAGGTAACTCTTCCAGGTTAGTGGAGTTTGTAACCTGAAGTGTTTGTAACCTGAGGCGTTTGTAACTTGAGGTACCACTGTATGTGTTAAGCAGCTAGCTTGTGCTTATCAGGCAGAACTAGAGCTGAGCATTAGGAGTTAGGTGTAATATTACTCTATATTTAACATTTGTATTAGTCAGCTGTGTTTAAGGTATAAGACTGTGTGTGCACAATACTTTAAAGCCCATTCAAAACACATTCTTTCTTTCAAATAACTATGGGCACTGTAGTTTACACCTCACAGAGTTACAGTTCCCTGAATGTGTAGTCTCTAACCCCTATTACAGAAATGCATCAGTATCCCCATTATTTTACACAGAGGGAGTTTTATTTGCAAAGAAGAGAACATTAAGCTTTAGCCAAGATCATATTTACTTCCACACTAGACCTTAAATTTATATTCCTGTCATTCTGATGTTCTTTCAGCATGATCAATCCCAAATGGCAGAATCATTATGGAAGCATTAAGATCAGACCTGCAGAACTTGAGGGAGAGGAACTCATCAGTCATGCAGCAGTTGGCACAAATGGTGTTAGGGAAATGATGCTGAAGTTGGCTACTAGTTCTCAGTTCCTCATCTGCACAAAAAATCAAGAAGGATGCTGCCCAAAATTCAAATGCAGTATTTTTTCAAAAATATATATATATTGTTAATTAAGGACACACGTCAATGCCCTTTCAAAGTGATACAATACAAAGAAATTTGGGAACCCACGTTAAAATTTGGGTTTTCTACACCTGCAATATATGAAGGAATGAAACTTTATTTGCGTCAGCCATAGGCCATAGCAACAAAAGAACATTGCAATATACACAGAACAGAAATAAAAAGTTGATTATATAAAACACAGTTTAGCGTCCTGAATCAGTAGTCAAATGGTGGATCTTACTCTGATTGCCCCAGCTAAAAACCTTGCAGCCTTTGCTGTCACCTGCTCATCTTGATCTGCCAAAAGAAAGGACACTGTGGCAGTGGTTGGGCGACCTGGAATGGACAATAAGAGAGGGGTGATAATCTCATTCCTCAAGTCTTTATAAAGAGTGCAAGCCAGAAGGGCATGCGCCACCGATTCAGTACTGCCATCTCCACAGGGACATAAGCGTTTTTTGTGTGGAATCTGTTGGAATCATCCCTCAAGTACAGCCGAGGGCAAGACATTCAATCTTGCGAGAGTAAAAGTGCGTCTATATTTTGGAATTGCTAGTTTATGCAGATAGGATGCCAGAGGATCAAAATGGGAAGGTGGATTTATGGCATGCCTTTGTCTGATGTCATTATAGATAAGGAGTGAGCTGTACATAGCAAATAAGCAAAGCAGAAATGGCTGCTAGCTGCACCCACCATTGTAAGGCCTGAGGAGGTGATGATGATGATGTCTCTCCAGCTGCTGTTATTGGCTCTGGACTCTCTGTGATGTCACATAAGCACATGGCAGCTCAGTGGATATACAAAAGCAGCCCAAGGGGAAAGCCCAAGGCAAAGCTTGAAAAGGACACAGTGGACAACAGTTGTGTTATTCAGTACTTGGTGATCTCCCTCCGCATGGAGGCGAAGTGGCAAATGGAAGGAGGCCATCATTCGTCAATGAGATGCTGTGGAGCAACGAGAAGGCAAGTGTACCTGCTGAGCAGGACCGCGGCTTGATAGCGGCAGATATCCATGGTTGGAAGCTGGCGATGGACCTGGCAAAAGCTGTGATTAGCATGTGGAAGCCCAGGATGCCGCAGGGCTGAAGGAGGCTGAAGTTTGTGCACGTAAGTTGGTTGAAATGCACCTTCAGAAGGCCATTGACAAAAGCTGTGTGGATATTTGTGGGCTGATGCTGGGGTAAGTATGAATGGAGAGTGTGGACATAGGTCACCCACCAGACCCAGGTATGCCTGGGTATTGCATGTTCAGATAGCGGTGTAGGCTGCCCTCCAGGCTCTGGGTGAATGAACCACTGGATGTTTATGGGTGGAAGCCAGCGAAGGTTGGCAGGCTGGCCAGTGGAGGTGGCTGGATGATAATTGTTGAATGAGGGCCATTCCCCTCACCGTATCTGTGTTTGCCTTTCATGGATATTCACAAGCCGACAAGGCTTTCCCCAAAAGCAGCAATGAAGGGGACAGCAGAGCTTAAGCAAGCCATCTTCTACTTCTAAATCAAGGTATTTCTAAATACATCTAACTAATGCTCATGACATTCCCCTTTCCAGTACCAGGATAGGAGGCTGTGCAGATGCATCCCTAAGCAGTTCCCACGGGCTACAAACTTCCTGTGATGTCACAAATGGGCGGGGTGGCTGAGGGGAAAGAGGCTGTTTCTAGTGGGAGGCGGCTGGAAGAAGGGAGAAACCCTAGTAGAAGGTTCAGGGGAAGTTGGGTAGGTAGGCAGGGCCAGCTGGATATGCAGAAGTTGAATATGGTCTGACTCCCTTGTCTATTTGCGTTGCCAACATTTTGTTCTCTCATGGCTCCTGTACCTGTCTCACCTAGATTGCTTGGCAAGAGCCCCAGCCCTTTAATGGTTCCTGCAGAGCACCCGCAATATATATATATATATATATATATATATATATATATATATATATATTCAACCAGGCCTGTTGATTGATAGCTGGGCTCTAAACTGATGGCTAACAGGCCAAGATCAAAAGCATTTTGAAACAAGATATTAAATGTTAAATAATATTCAACATTAAGTTTCCTCTCAAACGTGTAACATTAGTGGAACTCCAGAGCATACAGAAATTTGCTCCAGAGGAGCCACTCTCCTCCCTCTTGCAATGGAGAGTGGAAACGGGGGGGGGGGGGGGGGCCCGACAATGCATAATTCCGATACACTGCTACTGCTGTTAATCTAATCATTTGCATTTTAATAGTTGGGTTGTTATTTCTTTTCTGTTTGCTTTTTATCCCTAAGTCAATTTGAGCAGCTCCTTTGTGAAGGAGGAAAGCAGGCTATTCATTTTATAAATTAACTGCATTCAGCTGTGTCTTTGAAATTCAACCCCCTCTGTGCCCGCTTTAAACTCTGTAACAAGCACACAAGCGTCACACTTTGCTGAAGCTAAAGCAGATCACATTATGTTCTTCTCCAGGAACAGTGACCACATACATGCCACCTTGGGTTCCAAGATGGAAGAACATGCTTGATAATTTTAAGGAGTGAGGAATACAGTCAGCATTGGCTGGAGACCTGCTCCTAACAGTCACAACCCCAACACTTGTCTTGTTTCATACTCTCTCTTTTTCAACATACCAGTCCTAAACTGCGTCAGGGCTCCTTACAGCTACTTTTGTAAACAAGGAGATGTGGCCAGTCTAGGCGTGTTTTTGAATCACATTGTTAAAGTCATATCTAGTTAGACCCAGAAGAGATTACCTTCTTGGTCTCTTTTGTACTAAGAGAATACAGCGAGAATATCTGCTTTGCTAAACACTTTATGCTTCTGGCATAAATAGACATTTTAAAAAATTCATGGCTGAAGTTTGTTGCTGGTTTCTGAGATAATGCAGTAAATTCTTCTCCGCATAAAAGTGTCACTTTTACAAATGAAAATTAAGATGATTTGTAGCATATTACAATTGCAATTAAGCTATAATGAGTCCCCCCAAATTACACATGATGTAGGTTCTCATTATATAATATAAACACTTCTTTACTGGGTTTCCTTTTCTTGGCTTATGGTGTTTTGCATCTGCCTTTTCAATTTCCAAAGAATGCAATAACCTGAAACATATCGAATGCATAGCATATGCTCCGAGTGGTATAATAAATGTTATTTGAAATGAAATTTCCTTGAGCCATGAAGCTTGATCCTGTCCATGATTATGTGGAAGTAAGTCTCACTGAGTTCAACAGAAGCTACTTCCTAGTAAGCAATCACAGGACTATGGCCATAATAGCTCAATTCCATTTCAATTTAAGTAACAAAATAGGGTGGTTTTGTTCCTCCCTGATCCCATTATTCTCACTAATACCACTTGTTCTGGATCTTGCCATCTTGTGCTTTCAATACATGGCAGCCCTTCTCAGATGTTCGAAGGAATGTGGATAAGTCAGCGAAGGAGCCTGACTGCCACCACAATGCTGTACTCCCACCCTGAACATTCCTTTCACTCTATGACAGGGGTGAGGAGCTTCCAGCCACAGGCCTAGTTAGACACAGCATTTGGCCCAGTTTGGCCCACAAGTCCATATTCTCCAGACCATGCCCATCTACACCACAGCTGATGTCATCAGGCATGCATGGGGCAGGTGAGGATGTGGCTCCAAAGGAAGAACGGGGAGCTTAAAGCAAGTTCCTGATTGCTCCTTCGCAAGTGAGGCTTGCTGGCTGCGCTGACACTGAGCCCAGCTAGGATCAGCTGCACTAGGAAGTTCCCCACTAGGAACTCCTCAATAGGGAACTCCTTAATGCAGCTGTTGACTGGTAATTGCAGTGAGCTGCTTTGAAAACAGATTGCCAACACAGATCAGCTTGATGGATCAGCAGTTACAGTGAGCCCCTTTGAAGTTGCCACCTGACATCATAATGGGGGGGAAAGACAAAATACCTTATGAAATCACTAATAGTCATATTAGACAATACTGGGCTTGATGAATTTAACATCCTTGTTACGCTTCAGCATAATTTCTATAAACACCACCTTTTCTTGAATACAAATTTGGATATTTGGATGGTATCTATATGTGTCAACTAAGATGGGTGCATTGATGTTTAAATGTATTCTTAGTGTGAGCTGACATTCTCATGACTTTTGAAATTATTATTTAGTTTTAAGTTTTCTTCTTTCATGAATTTGCAATAAAAACCAACCAACCAAAAAACCCAGCCTCCATCCATTGGGGAAACAGGCAGTTGGTAACTTGTGTTGTTCAAGTCGTAACTAGAAAGGCAGATATAAAAATATATCTAATAAAGAAAGTATGCAAAGTTGCTATGCAACATGGCCCCAGAGAGACATACCCTGCACCTCTGCTGTCATGTATTGGAAACAGAGGAGCAGAGGAGGGAAAGAACTGGATCCAGCTCAGGGGAGAGGTGGTGAGATGTCCGCATTGTCAGAGCTGTGGAGGAGCGCTGAGTGGCAGTAATCACTGTGGTATGATTACAGGATGTTGGGGGGTGATGGAGAGGCAGCAGCAAGTGGGTGACCTCAGACAGCAATGTATCTTGGGCCTTCGCCGTCTTTCCCATAGGACTTAGTGGTGCATTGTGCCAGGGCGTCGGCCTCTCAGGGGCATGCCAGCCAGCTACTATATGGCTGGCGGATGTGCAGCTTCCCTCCCAAGCCTCTGCGGGGATTGTTCTCCTGCAGCGGCATGGGGGAGAGTTGCGGTCCCCCCCCCCGATGGCTGGCAGTGCTCAGCTTCACCCCCCCCCCACTATCCGTGGTAATTTGGGGGCGCTGGGCGGATATTTGCACCCTGGCATTGCATCTGCTAAAGACAGCCCTGCCAGGCAGGAATATATATTTCAGTCATCTCTCTTTCACTCTCCCTCCACTTGACCAAATTGAAAACTGCAAATTGCTATTTCTGCAGGCACAGAAATCACCCATCTTCTCTATCACTTTACCCACATTTTGCTATTTCACTTAAAATGCCCACAGAAGATCTGCAGATCTCAGGGGACCATCTCCTCACAATTAGGTTCCAGGAAGAGCCATTATGTGCTGTTAGGAAACAATTTCCCTGACAGAAGGATGTGGTTGGCCAGCTTTAACAGCATAACGCATGGAAGTTTACGCATTATCATGTACAGCTTTTGCCAACAGTTCACAATGGCTGAGACTGATGTGAGTTGCTGTCCAAAATATCTGGAGGACACAAGGTTGGCAAAGATGATCTACTAACTTTTACAAAATCCCCCCCCCCTTAAATTCACAATGTTTTGCAGCAGAAGTAATAGCTCTCTCACTAGTAATGAGAAGGCAGGCAGTTATAAAAGAGCAGCAAAGGGATCTTTGTTACCTTGGCATTCTGCTTGCTTGTTATTCTTATGGGAAAAGATTTGGTAATTACAAAAAGAGAAGTAAGCAAAGGTACTAAGACAGAAAAAGGGCAAATAACAGAAAGAAATCCCAATAACGGATGAAACACTTACCAGGGGCTGTGAGGCAATGCAGAAAGAAAGCTCTACCTGGCAATTGTTGCAGAGAGGTCAACTAAACAATTATATGTAAAAAGCACTTGGAGGAGGGCAACCAAAATGGTCAAAGGCCTGGAAATGATGCCTTATGAGGAACGGCTAAGGGAGCTGGGCATGTTTAGCTTGGAGAAGAGGAGGTTAAGGGGTGATATGATAGCCATGTTCAAATATATAAAAGGATGTCACATAGAGGAGGGAGAAAGGTTGTTTTCTGCTGCTCCAGAGAAGCGGACACGGAGCAATGGATCCAAACTACAAGAAAGAAGATTCCACCTAAACATTAGGAAGAACTTCCTGACAGTAAGAGCTGTTCGACAGTGGAATTTGCTGCCAAGGTGTGTGGTGGAGTCTCCTTCTTTGGAGGTCTTTAAGCAGAGGCTTGACAACCATATGTCAGAAGTGCTCTGATGGTGTTTCCTGCTTGGCAGGGGGTTGGACTCGATGGCCCTTGTGGTCTCTTCCAACTCTATGATTCTATGACAAAAGGATATGTATTGAATTAGAGGGGAGAGAGAGAGAGAGAGAGAGAGAGAGAATATTGGAAACCTGAAAGAATACCAGACAAGACTGCCTGCTTTAGATGCTACTTTTTCCTCAGTTCTGACTCCAGCTTTGAAAAGCCTTTGGGCAAAGTGCCGCTGGTTGAGGCCCCTCATGCATTATTAGTTAACTGTGGAGGACTGATCTGGAAGCCACGCTGGGCAGCAGAGCTCCATAGCAGCAGCCCGTGGCCTGGATTAGGCCCACTGTTTAAATGTCTCACAATGCCTCAGAGTGATGCAACATGGCGTTATAGCGGGAAATTATTTTCACAAGACCAAGTTGTCCTATACTGTTCTGTGTATAAAGGTAATCTGAGCTTGGTTCTCAGGTGTTCACAAACAACTCAGTGTGCGCTTTGGTTATATAGTGGGCACTTGTGACTCTGGACTTAGTTTTGCCAAGCATTTGCCTACAGCTAACGTGCCACTCGGTTGGCATTTGTCGCAAGGGAAACAAATACACACTGCTTCCTGTTCAGCTTCCTTGAGGCTACTTTTAGGAACAAGAAGTTCCACTCTCCTGCCATTTCTCTTTCATAAGTCTCTACACTGAGATATAAATGTCGTTTTAAAAACTTCTTTTAAAAAGCTCTCTTACAAGTCATGGATATGTCTGAAGAAATACAAACATATTATATTCATATATTTGTGCACTAGGACATGTAAAACATATTTAATCAACCAGGACATTGCCTGCAGGTCCTGCAGTCTGAGTTGTATCATGCGAAAAAGGGATGTCATACACTGCAGAGGTAAAACTACAACTGACCTATGTACACATTTTAGAAATCACAACTATTCTGACAGAAAAGTGGAGCAAGCAACGTAATGTTAAACATCTTCATTTTGAGCCTCATAACTGGCTGGAGACTTATAAATAATTGCTACAGAGATACCAACAGGCCCAACAAGTGTTAGCCAAAAGGGAGAAAGCCTGGATGTGCATGCTGGACACATTAACACTGCATGGCCTCAACCTGGAGGATAGTTTTTAATTAATTTATTAATTATATTTAATTTGTATACCTCCCTATACCTGCAGGTCTTAGGTTGGTTCCCAGGATAAAATCAGAATATATAACCACAAAATGCATAATCAAAATAAAAACAAAAACAACCCAATAACCCCCCCAACACATCTTAAAAAGGCACAGGATGTCAATCAACCAAAGGCCTGGTTAAAGAGGAACTTTTTTGCTTGGCACTTACAGGTGTATAATGAAGGCGCCAGGCGAACCTCCCTGGTGAGAGCATTCCACAGACAGGGAGCCACTGCAGAAAAGACCTGCTCTCATGCTGCCACCCTCTGGACCTATTGTGGAGGAGACACACGAAGATGGGCCTCAGAAGATGACCTCAGGGTCTGGGTGGGTTCATATAGAAAGAGGTACCAGCATCACTTAGCTTCAGCAAATGAGCACCTTTGGAATTCCATCCTCCAAGCTCTACAACTGTCACCTTGGAAACAGCATCATTTTTATCAGAGCAACTGATGAAGGTGCTGAAGCTGAAATGTTTTGCTGTAAGAATTTAACATTTCTCTTTTGCTTATCATTGTAGTAGTGATTGACTGCATCCTATCAGGATCCAGAACAATCTTCTTCTTCTTTGAATTTATATACCACCCTATACCCAGAGGTCTGAAGTGTGGATTGATGCTTTCATTTTCTGTCTGTCTCTCTGCATAAACACCCACCTTTGCCCACTGAAGTCTAGAATTGTGTCTGGTGTCTTGCTATATATAGCAGTACTCTCAACAAGACACATAGATGGAAAAGATAATCTGAAAATTACCGTATATCTTAAAAATGTAAAAATGTAATTAGACACATATGCCTTTAAAATGGCAGCACCAAAAATTATCCTTAATTTAAAAGCTTGAAATCACCAACCTGACCTGTCTTGTGGAACAAAACATTATGTCTGTTTACAACCACAAAAGTTTTTGAATGTTTCAGTGAATCCAGAAGTTATACAGAAGGGTAAATCCAAAAGCATTTATTATTTAACCACTGCTGGGAAAAATCCACCAGGAGCAAGCTGGTTTTTGTATCAATAGATTATGAATTTTCTCAAACTCTGTGGTTAATGATGATCCCTTATGAATACCCTCTTAGCTGAAATTTTATTTTGTGTAATGAAATGGGAACAAAATCTTATGAATATGCCAGTAGTCTGAAGCCTTATCTAATCTACTATTTGTTTGAGGATAGTCTGAATTAATTCCTCTGCATATATTAGACTAGAATTCCTAGAATTGTCTTTGATATCTAAAATAATTCTACAAAGCGGAAACATTCTTACCAACCTGTATTTATTGCAGTCCATTTAATATCAATAATAATTTAATGGAATTTAATAGATGTTTTCAATTCTTCACTTAGAAAAGACAAGAGAGAGAGATTGTATTTATGAATCCACCCCTCTTTTGATTACTGTGCCCAATCAACAATCCCCGCTGATTAATAATCATGGTTGAAAAGAATGAAAAAGAATCTTAACATGCTGAGTGAATATTAAATTCGGGTGAGGAGGAAGGAAAAAAGAATGGAGAGGGGGATTTGCATATGTGAGATTCATGTACATATAGGGGTAGCCAAGCTTTATTCGGTCAAGGGTTACGTTCCCTCTGAGATAATCTGTCAGGGTCCTTGTGATGGTGATAGGTGGAGACAGAGATGATGGCTGGACCCAGAACAAATGTGTTCCTGATTAGCTAACCCAGAATGAAGACCACCATGCCTGAATTTTCATCATGGTTACCTCAGATTACAATTCCCAAGCCTATCTAGGTCTACTAAAAGGAAACACAAAAATCTGTGTTTGTGGCATTTTTCTCAAATAAGCATACAGGTAATTTTCTTTAGTGCAAGAGTCCCATGTAGCCACTGTACCAGAAGTTTCATTTTGGGTGTTTATGCACATACACATGGCAGAAACCTTTCAGTTTGTTCTCAGACAGCTGCAGGTCCCTGGCTGGGGGACTTTTTCCTAGGTCCCATAACCAGGGGAAAAGCAAACTAAAGCCAAACTAAAAACAAATTAAAAACAAATACCTTTTATATAAATCACAATAAGATCTAAAATAAAGACGCAAAATTTAACATAAATACAGTGGTACCTCAGGTTAAGAACTTAATTTGTTCCGGAGGTCTGTTCTTAACCTGAAACTGTTCTTAACCTGAAGCACCACTTTAGCTAATGGAGCCTCCCGCTGCTGCTGCGCCGCCGGAGCACAATTTCTGTTCTCATCCTGAAGCAAAGTTCTTAACCTGAGGTACTATTTCTGGGTTAGCAGAGCCTGTAACCTGAAGCGTCTGTAACCCAAGGTACCACTGTAACAGCAACAGCCCCTGCCCAACAATACCCCCTTCTAAACAATACCATAGCCCAAGCGTTTGGGTGGCCCAAACAGAAAAGCAAATGAAAAGAGGAATTCTTTTTCTTATTTGCATCTCAGGACTTGTCCACACTTCTGCTTCTCCCATTGCTAGAGAGTTTGGGTCTGAGCAGTTTTCTGCTTGTCCCATGCTTTGTAGGCATGAGTCCAAGCAGATTTGCCTTTGCCCTACCACTTTCCCCGGGAAAACCCACTATTTAGCGCTAAATCGAACAAACAGCAATCTGTAGAAAAACCTGATTGCTGTTTGTTCCAATTCAGTGCTAAACTATGGGTTTTCACAGGGGGAAGCTGTGGAGCAAACAGGTGTGTGATTAAGCCATCAATCAGATAAGACTTTTCCCCACACGAGATGATGGTTTGTGGCTTGTAAAGGGTTTAAAGGAGATTGACTGTAACCATCACTTTTTCTATGACTGAGTGGTTGGGATTTGTGTTTGTGTGTCCACCACTGATCCTGCCGCCTCCAACCAGTTCGGTTCAGTCAGTGTAAGCAAGCCTCAGAGCTGTTCCTGCTTGTTATCTCTTTGATAAAGCAAATGTCTGCTATGGTGTGCGGCTAACCGGGAGGTGTGCAATCATGTGAGCTGGGTGTGCAAGGGACTTGCCTAATACTGCCTGCTGTCAGAGCAACGCCTGTTCTCCAGCGATATCCCAGTCGTGTGATTATAGCATACAGAGACTCTCCTCTCCGGGGAAGCCAGCACGCTCCCAGGCAATGCGATAATCCGCTGGAGAAAGGGGAAGCAGGGCTTTGAAGTGCACAACATTGCTGGTGGTGCAGGTATAACAAGCAGCCGATTCCAGACAGCTGTATTTCTGGAGAAAAGGGCACGTTAAAGCAAAATATCACAGCTGTAATCAGCAAGTGATTCAGGGAATAATGTTATTTATGGCTTGCCTCTATGCATATTTGACTCAAGAGTGATTTGTTTTTCTTATTGTCACTTCTTTCAATTACATACTGCCTTTGTCTTCCAAGGATCTCAAGGTGGTGTTCATGGTTCTCCTCCTTCCCATTTCATCCTCACAACAACTCTGTGAGGGAGGTTTAGGCTAAGAGATGGTGACTGGCCCAAGGTCACCCAATGAGCTTCATGACTGAATGGGGATATGAACCCTGGTCTCCCAGGTCCAACACTCTAATCATTACGCCACACTGTTACAAAAGCTTGTACAGTGTGTGCAATATTATGATGTTACAATAGCATCATACTATTGCAGCTTCAAGACCATTAGTAACAACCCAAAGGTGTCATAGCATATACAAAGCAAGCAAACAAACAAAGAAACAAACAAAGAAACAAACAAACAAACAGTAGATAATAAGAGGAAGAAATGGTAACAAACCAGTATAAATCCAGACATCCATATTTCCCAAACTGGCATGGATGGTGAATTTCAGGCATCCAAGGCTAAAGCATAAGAAACACCAGATGACATAAAAGTGATCCATCCTTCTGGAGACACATAATTTATTTGTGTGTTTTTTTCTACAACCGCCAAGGTCCCTAAGCTCTTATACAACAAAGACAGATGTAGATTTTTCATGTTTTTCCATTGTTGGGCTATTGAAATCCAAGCTGCAGCTAACATCCATGTTGCAAGCTCGTTCATATTATTGGTCTACATATTCAGTCGTGACAGTTGTGGGGAGGCCTAAACAGGTGATTATTATTTTTTTTAAATAGACATTTCTTGGTATACTTGAGACCAGAATAATGAAACCAAAGGCTGATTGAATGCAGAGGGATTTATTCTAAACATATTATATAGCCTGCTCACTGTTTAATCACAAAGACTGATATTTGTATGTTATGAAAAGCAAAAGGCAAACAACACAGCACATCCCCCAAAAGAAACACATCACCCAAAGAAAAGATGCACACACACACTCATATCACACCAGTTCCTGTGGTTTGTGGTAGAAAGTACAGTTCATGTATTTCTATTTAAATAACAACAGCAACAGCAGCAACAACAACAACAACAACAGATTTGTGCAAAGTGCTAATGAGAATTTTTATTATCTCAGTGTGTTTAAGCTGGTGGCAGCCAAGTCAGCAAAATTTTTAGCATCTGCCATTAAAATAAGGGCCGCTGTGGTGCTCTCTGAGACTATAATTTTTAATCTGACAATTTTATTTGTTCAGTTGTGCCATTATGTTTGATGTTGTTCTCTTTATATGAATTGCAAGGGCTGGTGGCTGATGCAGATCCATTTCTATCCTTCTACCGATAGACTCCCCTTCATGGATCACTGCCTTGCTGTGGCGAAGGGGCTTGAATAACTCAGAGAAGCTCTGAGCTATGCCGTGCAGGGCCACCCAAGACGGACAGGTCATAGTGGAGAGTTTTGACCAAATGTGATCCACCTGGAGCAGGAACCAGCAAGCCACTCCAGTATCCCTGCCAAGAAAACTCCATGGACAAAGACAAATGGCATATAAAAGTTATGACGCTGGAAGATGAGCCCCTCAGGTCGGAAGGCGTCCAACATGATACTGAGGAAGAGCGGAGGACAAGTACAAGTAGATCCAGAGCTGATGAAGCGGCTGGGCCAAAGCCGAAAGGACGCTCAGTTGCGGATATGCCTGGAAGTGAAAGGAAAGTCCAATGCTATAAAGAAAAATATTGCATAGGAACCTGGAATGTAAGAACCATGAACCTTGGTAAGTTGGATGTGGTCAAAAATGAGATGGCAAGAATAAATATTGACAACCTGGGCATCAGTGAACTAAAATGGACGGGAATGGGCGAATTCAGTTCAGATGACCATCATATCTACTACTGTGGGCAAGAATCCCGTAAAAGAAATGGAGTGGCCCTCATAGTCAACAAAAGAGTGGCAAAAGCTGTACTGGGATGCAATCTCAAAAATGATAGAATGATCTCGATACGAATCCAAGGCAGACCTTTTAACATCACAGTAATCCAAGTTTATGCACCAACCACTGGTGCTGAAGAAACTGAAATTGACCAATTCTATGAAGACTTACAACACCTTATAGAAATGACACTAAAGAAGGATGTTCTTCTCATTATAGGGGATTGGAATGCTAAAGTAGGGAGTCAAGAGATAAAAGGAACAACTGGCAAGTTTGGCCTTGGAATTCAAAATGAAGCAGGGCAAAGGCTAATAGAGTTCTGCCAAGAGAACAAGCTGGTCATCACAAACACTCTTTTCCAAAAACACAAGAGACGACTCTACACATGGACATCACCAGATGGGCAGCATCGAAATCAGATTGATTATATTCTCTGTAGCCAAAGATGGAGAAGCTCTATACAGTCAGCAAAAACAAGACTTGGAGCTGACTGTGGCTCAGATCATCAGCTTCTTATAGCAAAATTCAAGCTTAAACTGAAGAAAGTAGGAAAAACCACTGGGCCGGTAAGATACAACCTAAGTCAAATCCCTTATGAATACATAGTGGAAGTGAGGAACAGGTTTAAGGATTTAGATTTGGTGGACAGAGTGCCTGAAGAACTATGGATGGAGGCTCGTAACATTATACAGGAGGCAGCAACTAAAACCATCCCAATGAAAAGGAAAGGCAAGAAAGCAAAGTGGCTGTCCAACGAGGCCTTAAAAATAGCGGGGGAGAGAAGGCAAGCAAAATGCGAGGGAGATAATGAAAGATACAGGAAATTGAATGCAGATTTCCAAAAAATAGCAAGGAGAGACAAGAAGGCCTTCTTAAACGAGCAATGCAAAGAAATAGAGGAAAACAATAGAAAGGGAAAAACCAGAGATCTGATCAAGAAAATTGGAGATATGAAAGGAACATTTCGTACAAAGATTACCATAATAAAAGACAAAAGTGGAAAGGACCTAACAGAAGCAGAAGACATCAAGAAGAGGTGGCAAGAATACACAGAGGAATTATACCAGAAAGAAATGGATGTCTCGTACACCCCAGGTAGTGTGGTTGCTGACCTTGAGCCAGACATCCTGGAGAGTGAAGTCAAGTGGGCCTTAGAAAGCACTGCTAATAACAAGGCCAGTGGAAGTGATGATATTCCAGCTGAACTATTTAAAATTTTAAACAATGATGCTGTCAAGGTGCTACACTCAATATGCCAGCAAATTTGGAAAACTCAGCAGTGGCCAGAGGATTGGAGAAGATCAGTCTACATCCCAATCCCAAAGAAGGGCAGTGCCAAAGAATGTTCCAACTACTGCACAATTGCACTCATTTCACACGCTAGCAAGGTTATGCTTAAAATTCTACAAGGCAGGCTTAAGCAGTATGTGGACCGAGAACTCCCAGAAGTGCAAGCTGGATTTCGAAGGGGCAGAGGAACCAGAGACCAAATTGCAAACATGCGCTGGATTATGGAGAAAGCTAGAGCGTTCCAGAAAGACATCTACTTCTGCTTCATTGACTATGCAAAAGCCTTTGACTGTGTCAACCACAGCAAACTATGGCAAGTTCTTAAAGAAATGGGAGTGCCTGATCACCTCATCTGTCTCCTGAGAAATCTCTATGTGGGACAAGAAGCTACAGTTAGAACTGGATATGGAACAACTGATTGGTTCAAAATTGGGAAAGGAGTACGGCAAGGCTGTATATTGTCTCCCTGCTTATTTAACTTATATGCAGAATTCATCATGCGAAAGGCTGGACTGGATGAATCCCAAGCCGGAATTAAGATCGCCGGAAGAAATATCAACAACCTCAGATATGCAGATGACACAACCTTGATGGCAGAAAGTGAAGAGGAATTAAAGAACCTTTTAATGAGGGTGAAAGAGGAGAGCGCAAAATATGGTCTGAAGCTCAACATCAAAACAAAACAAAACGAAGATCATGGCCACTGGTCCCATCAGCTCCTGGCAAATAGAAGGGGAAGAAATGGAGGCAGTGAGAGATTTTACTTTCTTGGGCTCCATGATCACTGCAGATGGTGACAGCAGTCACGAAATTAAAAGACGCCTGCTCCTTGGGAGAAAGGCGATGGCAAACCTAGACAGCATCTTAAAAAGCAGAGACATCACCTTGCCAACAAAGGTCCGTATAGTTAAAGCCATGGTTTTCCCAGTAGTGATGTATGGAAGTGAGAGCTGGACTATCAAGACGGCTGATCGCCGAAGAATTGATGCTTTTGAATTATGGTGCTGGAGGAGACTCTTGAGAGTCCCATGGACTGCAAGAAGATCAAACGTATCCATTCTTAAGGAAATCAGCCCTGAGTGCTCACTGGAAGGACAGATCGTGAAGCTGAGGCTCCAATACTTTGGCCACCTCATGAGAAGAGAAGACTCCCTGGAAAAGACCCTGATGTTGGGAAAGATCACAAGGAGAAGGGGACGACAGAGGATGAGATGGTTGGACAGTGTTCTCGAAGCTACAAACATGAGCCTGACCAAACTGCGGGAGGCAGTGGAAGACAGAAGTGCCTGGCGTGCTCTGGTCCATGGGGTCACGAAGAGTCGGACATGACTAAACGACTAAACAACAACAACAAACCAATAGACTCTAAAACTATAAGTATTCTGAGTCACGGCTACAATATGTGAACTGTGTACCCAGAAGAACAGACGTGAATAGAAAATATAACAGAATCATACCCTAAGGCTGCATTCTTATATTCACTTGGGAGTAAGCCCAACTGAATGCAATGGGGCTTACTTCTGAGAAGATATGAATGGGATTTCTCTGTAAAACACCGGTGCATCACCTCTTCATACAAAGTCAGATGTATAAACAGAATTTAAACAATTCAAAGCTCAGGTCATTGGTTTTGCATATGAACTTATTTCTGAATGTGCATATGAACATCACACATTGCACGGCATGATGATATCTACTACAAGTAATACCAAAGGGCACTGGCACTCCTAAAATATGTAAGATTCCTGCTGAGCTAGAATGAATGAGAGAATTATTCAACAGGTTTCCAAATCTGTGCTTAAAACTGATTATTTGAATCAAATCTATTCTTGTCAGACAGAGAGGAAGATGAACTGGGGAATCTTTATCAGTCTCAGGGCTGCATTCCTGGCCATATGTCGGGGGTGAAAATGGCTAGTGTCAAAGTTACCCTAGCTTCTACACAAGCACAAACCCTTCTCTAGCCTCCATCTAGGTGGCAACAGGCATTATTAGACTTCAGCATGTCATGCAGGGCCAGTGAAGGGTCTACATAAGTGCCTTGTGAATCAGGCCAATGGCCCATCTAGTCCAGCATCCTCTGCTCACCCAGATGCCTATGGGAAACTGGCCTGGGAAAAGTTTCAAGGGCCAGACAGAGAGGCTTGAATTACTGTATCCTGAATGTATGAAAGGGAAGCAAGATTCCGCCTGCTGAAACCACCCTTGGCATCAGCAGTGCCAACTTGGCCCTGTGACCATGGGTGGCTGGGGCCATGGGTGCCATGCTGTGTGCATGGCCCTGGCACTGACATTTGTGGGTGCCCAGCCCCTTCATGGGGAATTTTGTGGGTGCTCAGGCACCCGGGGCCCCAGGGAGTTGGCACCTATGCTTGGCATTCACGTGTCCCCCCTTAGTGTGAAAGAGGCCTGCATGTCTGTTGGTATACGTGCATCAGCTTACTTCCCATAGTTTGGACCTCTGATCATCCAGGATTCCTGACTGCATGGGCTAACCTTTCATGTGCCTAGTTGCATGTGTATGGTGAATATGGATGAATCTGTGGTAGGAATGTCAACGGACATTTAATTCGGACCTGTCTCGAATTTGGCGGCTGACTGTGTCCTCACCTGTTTCGTGTTGGCCGCAGCACACAATGCAAATCTCTGTTCACTCCTCAGTTTACCCACTATGTCATTGTCTAATATTGGGGGGGGTGTGTGTGTGTTGGCACCGTGGAAAACCACACACCCTGTACATAAATATCATAGTAGTTTTTCTTTGGCCGCTAGGTGGCGTGGTTGTTCCTCTGCACTGTAGCTTACCATTCCCCCGGAGCTAATTGTCAGTTTACACTGTGGCTTTTTAAAGGTATTTTCCCCCCATGTACTGTTTTCTGCATGGTAGAACTCACATGAGCTTTTAATAATTACCTGGTGCCATTCAGAGGTGCCATAACCTGGTGCCATTCAGAGGTTTTGGACTACAACTGGAATGACAACATATGGCTACTGGTAGCAGCTGGAAGACTGCATGTTTTAGAGCATGTGAAGTGTTGAATGGAATCATATAAATAATCTATGATTATAACCACATAGGGAAGTTCCACTGGCAGACATATTGAGCTGGGATACTAATGGGGATGGTGAGGGAAAGAGATTCATTATAAGCTTAGTCAGCAGAGCATGAGTCTCTTAATCTCAGGATCAATATGCATCCTTGAAAAATGGCAAGGTCATTGGAAGACGTACACAAAGGAAGCACCTCTTTCTTATTCAGACCTGTGGGTGAGATTGTACTTAATGTACTGCCAGCTCTGTGATGGTATAATAAAATTTGTATTTGTATTGTACTGTATAGCTGAAGGACTATGCCAAAAATTAAATGTAACAGAAGCAATTCTACAAGTAGAGATACCAGGCATGATCTTTTCAGTCCCCACAAAATCCCTCTTTGAGTGCACAAAATGTTAGGCAAATGAGGCATCAGTCATTTTATTTCACATTTACTGTATTGACCTGAATATAAGATGCACCCACAAATAAGCCGCACCTTGTAAATTCAAGGCACTATTTTGAAAACAGGAAAACAGTAATTAGTCTCCTACACCATCACCCTGTGCAGTGAACAGGTTCTTACTAATGAAAGACCCTAAGAAGTGATTTTTATTTTTATTTTTTATTTTTATTTTTATTTAGTAATGCTGCAGAGTCCTGGAACAGGAAACAATGACAGGTCACTGGAATGAAGCTTACATTAAAGAAGCAGTAGTCACCTTACAAGAATCAAGAGTGCTTTGCTGAGATAGTCCACATTGATCTTGCACTATACAAGAGTAAGGTAAAAAGAGTACAGTGGTACCTCGGGTTAAGTACTTAATTCGTTCCAGAGGTCCGTCCTTAACCTGAAACTGTTCTTAACCTGAAGCACCACTTTAGCTAATGGGGCCTGCTGCTGCTGCCGCGCCGCCGGAGCACAATTTCTGTTCTCATCCTGAAGCAAAGTTCTTAACCCAAGGTACTATTTCTGGGTTAGCAGAGTCTGTAACCTGAAGCGTATGTAACCCGAGGTACCACTGTACTTCTTCACCAAGTCAAGCATATGACCTGTCAGATATACTGTAATTTGTGATGAGCCCAAGGCTGTCGCAGAGGCCATGAAATCTTGAAATATACCACAATTTTTTTTGGTATTTCTATAAGGCAATCATAGCTCCTGAAATCTTTAGTAACATTGTGCTGCCAAATTTGAGAGCTGTGTGGATAAATCAAACTCTGTCTTTTATCTTCTGTGGTCAAAGAATTGCATGGTCCCCATGCTTCTTTTAAATATAGCACCTGGCACAGTTATTAAAATCCATGTTTCTATAGTCACACTTTTTAAATTTTGCACTGTGCAGCTACTGCCTGAATGGAAGCTTTATATTCATTGTGTTTTGTTGATGGACTAGCTTTGTCTAGCTACATAATCCACAAGGACAGTGTGGTATATGGGAAACAAATGAATGGGAGAATCAGAAGACAAGGCAGCCTGCACTGAGTCGCGTGTTGTACAAAAATCTATTGCTCTGGCAATTTTTGGGGGTAATTGCTTTAATTGATTCTCTCTGTGAAAATTAAGTTCTATTCAGTAAATGACTTCCTTTTCAAGCTATGTATCTGGCAAGGCTCTGAATACTTGAGCCCCTGCTCCTTCATTAATTTTTCCCTCTAGGTTACAGCTTAGAAGGGAGGCTGTGATTGTGGTCTCTGTTGTCCTTCTTCAGTCACAGTGAAATCTCAGCCCTGATTTATACCAGCTAGATGAGGATAGGATGCCAACTCCTACTACTTTGAAAAATCCTGAAAAGATGCTGGCTCCATGCCATTTTATTGTTACACATTTGTGGGGTGCAAAACACAGTCTCTGCTGTGCCTCATTTCCAAAGGAAACACAGACCCTGGTAAGTGTGCCTGGTACCCCCTGGAATTTCACACCACTTGGAGATTGGGGTGTCTCTATGATATCTGGTTTATTTACACATATCTACAACCTGAGGTCCGTATAGTAAAAGCTATGGTTTTCCCAGTAGTAATGTATGGAAGTGAGAGCTGGACCATAAAGAAGGCTGATCGCTGAAAAATTGATGCTTTTGAATTATGGTGCTGGAGGAGACTCTGGAGAGTCCCATGGACTGCAAGAAGATCAAACGTATCCATTCTTAAGGAAATCAGCCCTGAGTGCTCACTGGAAGGACAGAGCCTGAAGCTGAGGCTCCAATACTTTGGCCACCTCATGAGAAGAGAAGACTCCCTGGAAAAGACCCTGATGTTGGGAAAGATGGAGGGCACAAGGAGAAGGGGACGACAGAGGATGAGATGGTTGGACAGTGTTGTCGAAGCTACCAGCATGAGTTTGACCAAACTGCAGGAGGCAGTAGAAGACAGGAGTGCCTGGTGTGCTCTGGTCCATGGGGTCACGAAGAGTCGGTTACGACTAAACAACTAAACAACAACAACACAACCTGAGTCTATGAGGGAAGAGTTCGCAGCATTGCGCTCCAAGAGGGTCTCTTGCTGCTTCCATAGGCTCAGCAGCCTTGGATTCAAAACAGAAATCTGCCATAGTCTCTGTCCCCTTTCACAGCCTGTCACAGTTTATGCTAACAGATCAGTGCCAACTCCCATCCTTAAGATTCTGGCTTTTTGTCTCTTGCTAACTACCTCTCTAGAAGAAGGAGGGGCTCACACCCTTCTCCTGTCCAGCACAGAGTAACTGCTTTGTTAATTGCCCATCTGCCTACCCTTTTGTTTGTGTAACGACTCGGCCATTCTCAGGCTTTGTTTCCATAATGACCCACACTTAATGAGCTATCACCAGGCTGGCCTGGCTTGTATTCTTAACATAAGCACTGGATCCAGAGGTTCAGTGTGTGGCACAGATTAACTCCCCAAACCTTGATTAGTTCTAATTTTTATTGGGCCCAGGAATTTAGGGTGTCTTGTACGCTACAAACTCGTAACAATATTTTCCATGACGTGCATATATATATCCATATATATAAGGATTTCATATAACTACAGCAACTGGTCCAGTGGTACTCGGCCCTTGTAAACAGTGTCCTGGTGGAATTGTTGAAAGGTCTGGGAAAATCAACCACTTTGGCCAAAAACAACCAAAACCAACAAACTCAACAACTTGTGTCCAGATTTTCACCCTAAGTGGTACATTCTTATTAAGTTTCATACACAATATGTTTATTTATGCATTATCAATTCAAGTACCCTCTCCACAGAAATTCTTGAGTTGTAGGTGGAATAAAAGTATCTTCTGTCTCATTTATAAAGGAAAAGAATAGAAGCCAGGTCTCACCAAAAGTGTCTATCTTTGAAGTGCCTTTAAGTACCCTTCTGTGGCAAGTAAGGTGTTCTGATAGAGCCACATTCCAAATATTATTTACCCAGATTTCAATGGGATTTCTATGTTTTCTTGTAAGCCACCTTGAAAGAGTTTGACATCAAAGTAAGAATGCAAGTATCCCAAACGAATGAATAAAACATTTCATTTATTCATTTAAAGTATGTCTTCTAATGTTTAGTTAAAACATTTCAAAACCACACTTACCTAACAGACCCCAAGGTGTTGGTCCATAGACATAGAAATCTATTCAAACAAAGTTCGGAATATTCTTCTGAGGAGAAAATAGCACATAGAAAGCAAATGGATAAAACATAACCTTTTAGCTTAAACATTTCAAGGATGTAATCTTTTGCTCAAAGTAGTTTGCATTTATTGTTGATTCTGCACAGCTCTCAACTACATTATATAAAGATATATTTAGCAGCCATTGATATAAAAGGTCTGCTTCTTCTGTGGAGTGAAGCAGCTGTTACCGGAGAGCGCTGCCCTTTTCCTGGAACAATTTGGCTTTGAAACAACGATCCGTGAGTAGGTTAACTCTTGAATTAAAGGAACTTTACAAAATTTCTGAACAATTCGGCACTGGTTTTAAAGTAACAGACTGAGATAGAAACTGTTGTCTTTCTGGTGAATTGGGGGGCTAAAGGGAGAAGTTAACTACTTTAAGACATTTATGACTGTTACAGTGTCCCCCTAGAGGAAGCTTGAATTTGTTACAACTGCAGCTGGCTTGAGGGAATTTTCCACTTCAATTTCCTAAGGGAATTTTCCACTTCAAAACAACAATGACTCTGATCGTGAGACTGACCTTGGGTTATATCTTGAGGGTTATGGCAGATGGGAAAGAGAAGATAGATTCATTACAAGCAACGAGGTCTGGCAGAGTATTTTGCACAGACGGTGGGCTGCAAAGAAGGGCTTCGACATCTGGCCCTCCTGGTTTACCAACAGCAACCTCATCGGCACAACCTAAACCCAAAGGTATGGCAGCTGACGATGCCCTGGCTCAGGCACTAGCTAAAATTAATGAATCTTTGGAAAGAATAAGTAAACAAGTAGCCGAGGCATCGAGTAAAATTGATTAAAATACGACAAGTATTAATCAAAATATGACAAGTATTAATAATTTGGGACAGAAGGTAAATACTAATACAGAAACTATTCAGAAACTATTACAGGAATCTGCTTCGACACATAAGACAGCCGAAGAGGCTAAAGAAATTGCTACTGCTACAGCTACTGTGGTAGAAGAGAAGATACCACCGCTACATAAACAACTTGAAGACCACAAGTCAATTCTGTCTATGATCGAGTTGAAGGAGAAACAAGTGAATTTAAGGGTCAGGGCTGTACCTGAAGTGGAGAAAGACAATTTGATTGAATTTCTTACGCAGGAATTTGTAGACTTTTGGAACCCAGATTTGGGGTAGGATAGTTTCAAGATAGTGAGTGCTTTTAGGCTTGGAAAAGGAGGGAGAAAGAACAGGGTGAGAGACTGTTTGATCATCCTCCGAACAAAAGAAGAGAGAGATAAAATCTTGAGCCTGCATTTCCAGAAGACCTTGGAAATACAACAGTCAAAAGTGGAGATATTCAAGGATATTCCGAAACATCTTTTGGACCTTAGGTCCAATTATAAAGATTTGGTTACCCTGCTGAGAAGCAACGGAATCATTTTTAGGTGGGAATTCCCCCAAGGCCTATCCTTTAGCTATAAAGGAAAGAAGATAAAAACAAGATCAGAAGACGACAAAGATAAATTTTGGAGAGACCACGGAGAAGACCTGCAGAAGAAAGTTACAGGAGAGTTAAGAGCACTTGTAAGAGAAACTTTAGACACACCAGATTTACCTCTGGAACTAAAAGACCGCCTGAAAAAGGTGATACCACCGACAGAACAGGAACAGGCACTGGGTGCTGTTGGAGGAGAAGTAAAATAGCTACATCATGGCTCTGCAACTACTAAGTTGGAATTGTAATGGCTTGAACTCACCTCAGAAAAGGAGATCTGTGTTTCATTTATTAAAAAAAGGAACAATTGGATTTGATTTGTTTACAAGAAACACATATAACAAGGTTACACAGGAAATTATTGATTAATAAAAGACTTGGTCAGGAGTTTATTTCATCGGACAAGGTTAAAAAAAGAGGGGTTGTGATTTATGCAAAGGACAGATTATCACCGAAATTTATTTTTAAAGATGACCAAGGAAGATTTGTGGCAATTGAAATTCAAACACAAGGAGAAAAATTCTTGATAGTAGGAATTTATGCACCAAATGACGGGAAATCTGATTTTTTTAAGAAGTTGCATGAGACCCTGATGGACTATTTGGATTACAACATGATTTTGATGGGAGATATGAATGGAGTGGTATCTACACATATGGACAAAGCACAAAGACAGGTAGTCACTAAGGATGGTAGACTACCGAAAACTTTTTTTGAGATGACAGACAACTTGGACTTAGTTGACATTTGGAGAACAAGGAACCCCATGGCTAAAGAGGGAACCTTCTTTTCTGAAGCCAAAATGACATGGACAAGA